AAATTATCGAATTATACGTCATCACATATGCTAAAATAAGGATGCTAGCTATATTCAAACAATGTGGTCGTTCAGATCCATGTTTTATGTGTACGATTTCGACACAATAGCGAGCTGACACGAAATATCAACGCACATGTCGGTGTTTAAAATGGGGTTTTCGTTATAGCTTACATTATGCCCATGTAACGATTTTCGTGTCTCGAAACTGCATTTATAACGTTTTCGTACACTGAAAGATTTACGGAAACTGTCGATGTTCACCAAAGAGACTGACTGATATTCCAGCAATATCACGGCGTGGGACACCAGAAATGGGCTTCACTCATTGTACCCATGTGGGTTACCAAAGAGAGGCCAGACGTTTGTTCAAAGCAGAGGGTAGTGCTAACGCGAGGGTCAGTGTTCAAATATTTAAAGCAGGTAGGCAAATTCAATACGATGAAGGTAAAAGAATAACCTACAAGCTCAACACAATGTTTTGTGAAAAACGTACGTTTTGATTAAACCGCACGTTAAAATATTCGGGCTGTCCGGTTTTCGATCAGGTTTTGAGCAGCGCGAGTGTCACCCCTTGTGTATTTTAAGTAATCAGTGTTGCGGTAGAATTTTCTTAAAAATTCATGTCTTCACTGATCTCGTTCAAATTTGAAATATAGGTTAATCATAACATAAAAAACACAATATACGATTGCATAAGTCTAGATTTCTATTATCAAAAATTATTGTCCAAACTGTGATTCGAACTCCTGTGGTTATAATGCATACTATATTCAATATTTTAACAAAGCGCGTCGCCCAACAATGCGACAACGCGACATTTCATCATAATGTCGCGTTGTCGCATTGTCGCGTGTCGCGTTTTAGTCAATACGTTAAAATACATGCTATAGTCAATATTTTAACAAAGCGCGACACGCGACAATGCGACAACACGACATGTTTTTAAAGGGCTGAGATACCCTGGGATCGAACTCAGAACAATAATAAATGAACGTACATGTGGCCGTGAAGTGTGTGGGTTAAGAGTCCTTTGTTAATGGACTGGATGTATTCAAACTGGCCATTTCTCTGAAAATTATTATGATTGAGTAGGTGTATGTTTGAAACGATACAAGAACATGTGTATCGTTGGGTATAGTATCGTCTGAGCAACTTATCGATATATTGGAAATCATGGCATGTCCAGGATTAATTATATAGGATTCAAATAAAATTGAAAAACAGACATCACAACACACTATTGTAATTATACCTTGCCAATTTACCAAGCTCCCTAAACCTTGAGTGGAGCGGAGTGGAGTGGAGTGAGTGAGGGAGGGAGGGTTGCTTTCTAGCACTCCAAGGGTACGTAACTCTGCCAAGCGATTTTATCGTTTCTAATAATATAATGATAACAGTCCATTTGTATGGCGTTTTCCCAAGAAGAATATCATGTTCAAAGCCGACCTAAACTGTCTTTGAGGTGCTGGATGGTTTAGTGATATTACAATCTCATTCTACCTGGTATCCATCCACTGCTGGCTGAACAGAGGTAGATGTCGGACAAATTCATCAGCATTCAAATACAGGACTGTACCAAGAAACTCAGGAGCCAACTGTTGAACATAGTGACCCATTCGAGGACTTCACCTGATGCTTCTGCCGATGTGGCCTGAATTTTAACAATATTTCAATTTATTTTACAACCTGTGAGCTTGATATCGTTGAAATGTCCAAGGTGATGAATGTGTATGGTGCTGGGATTCGAACCTATGATCATAGTTTTCTGGTGTGACTAAGAGACACAACTCTGCACAGCAAATTGCCCCGCCTAGAATGACAGGGCCACCGTGTGCCGTGATTACAATGAATAGTAGCGCTTATAATTTGTTTTGCTGCTAAAACACACTTGATTGGCTAAATACATTTACAATATATAAAATAATTTTCAATGCAACAATGAAAGATTTGCATTAAGTTCAAGAAAAGCAGCGCCCATTGCCATTACGAGCACTATTTCATTTTAAAAACCATTGGAGGTAACAAAAGACCAGTGAAGTCTGAAATAGAGTATAACTTTTCCTGCGCACGCGTAGTGTAATTGATTTTCTACACATGCGCACCGGTAATCGAAAAGGGCGACACCACGCGACAACGCGACCATGCGACATATTCAATTTTTAAAGCTTTTTCTACACATCTTAGATAGGGCGATAATGCGACAGCGCGACATATTTTGACCTTGAAAAGTGTCGCTATGTCGCATTGTCGCCCTTTGGAGGAATAGAAAAATATTATTCAAAACGCCTCATTTTCCTTGTTTTTGAGAGGGCGACAACGCGACAATGCGACAACGCGACATTGTCCCTTCTCGAATTCCATACTTATCTGAACTTCACTAATCCAAACTTTTACATATGTTCTATTACCATTTATTGAATATTTGGCTTTTTTCCCGGCACTTCCTGACAGAGATAGAGCTCTTTATATTATTCCATAAACATTCCATATTTGATAAACTGTCAACATCGAATTTCCCCCTTTTGCTACCTACACAACGTCAAAAACATTATACCCGTGAAGGTCCGGGTTAGAATATCGATCTTCAGTAACCCATGCTTGTCGTAAGAGTCGACTAACGGGATCGGGTGGTCAAGCTCGCTAAATTGGTTGACACATGTCATCGGTTCCAAATTGCGTAGATCGATGTTCATGCTGTTGATCACTGGATTGTCTGGTCCAGACTCGATTATTTACAGACCGCCGCCATATAGCTGGAATATTGCTGAGTGCGGCGTAAAACTAAACCCACTCCCTCATTCACTCATAAGCATTAGGAAAAGTATCGTTGTAACACATTTGTTAATACAAAATGGCTTATGTTTCGTTGTGATACCGCGTCAGCTGATAGACGAGCTAGTATCAGGTACATGTGTTGCATGTCGAGGGAAAATTGATCTGTAACCTCCATACTTTGTTCCAGAGTCTTGTGGTGGGTGTAGTACCCCGACCAGTACATTCGGTTCTGCCTGTCTGGACGCTCGACCGTATTCATGCAGAGGTGTATATTACGTCAGATGTGGGTTCCTCTGGCTCAAGAAATGCCCCAGGTGAGTGTAAGGCAAACGTCATTGAAACCCTGTTAACCTTGGTTAAAACACTCTATTGTCGTAAAGTGAAGACATTGGGAAAACGTGTAGATATCATTATTGATCAATAAAGGCACCATTGTCGTTAAGTGAAGACATTGGGGATACGTGTAGATATCATTGTTGATCAATAAAGACACCATTGTCGTTAAGTGAAGACATTCGGGATACTTGTTGATATCATTGTTGATCAATAAAGGCACCACTGTCGTCAAGTGGAGACATTGGGGATACGTGTAGATATCATTGTTGATAAATAAAGACACCATTGTCGTTAAGTGAAGACATTGGGGATACTTGTTGATATCATTGTTGATAAATAAAGACACCATTGTCGTTAAGTGAAGACATTGGGGATACGTGTAGATATCATTGTTGATCAATAAAGACACCATTGTCGTTAAGTGAAGACATTGGGGATACTTGTTGATATCATTGTTGATCAATAAAGACACCATTGTCGTTAAGTGAAGACATTGGGGATACTTGTTGATATCATTGTTGATCAATAAAGACACCATTGCCGTAAAGTGAAGACATTGGGGATACTTGTTGATATCATTGTTGATCAATAAAGACACCATTGTCGTAAAGTGAAGAAATTTGGGGATACTTGTTGATATCATTGTTGATCAATAAAGACCCCATTGTCGTAAAGTGAAGATATTGGGGATACTTGTTGATATCATTGTTGATCAATAAAGACACCATTGTCGTTAAGTGAAGATATTGGGGATACGTGTAGATATCATTGTTGATAAATAAAGACGCCATTGGTTATATGAGGCTTCCACGGGATATTGTTACTTGTTGTAAACGATCGGTGATCAGCGAGGTGGATGAGAATAATAATAAGCAGATCATGCATACGTGTGCATGTAGTACATATGTTCTATATTGAAGGTAGATATTTTCGGAAGTAACATCATAATTCATCTGTAAGTTACCCGATTTAGCTCTTAATATGCATTTTTTAAAAAACAAAAACATAACTCAATGCGTGTACCAAACCCAGTACCATGTGTTATGTTTCGGTAGCTACATGCTTCTTCGTTCATCTGCAGGTATCGGTCGAATACTTGCTACAAACAAGTGAAGACTTGCTGCACTGGATTCAGGCTTATCGGAAACAGTTGCTACAGTGAGTATATTACTGTGTATGTTACTATAGACGGTGATATGTATGGTTTTGGGTTTGCAATGTTTCAGAAACTGTCTGCTATCCAGTAGCACTTGAAATATTAGTGCACATCCAGACGACATTATGCACGATGGTTGTGCTATAAGAACACATAGAAAATATGTGTTTTAGTACAATGTGCCTTTAATAACGTATAATGTAACCTACTTAAGATGTTATCAACGAATATTCCTGTTTCTAGCTAGTATTATTTGAGTGTGAGAACTAGTTTCCACTGCTGCTTATGTAATCCGTCAGGACAATGTAATGCTAAAGGGGCAAAGGAGTAGCCTAGTAGTTAAAGCCTTTGCTTGTTGACCAAAGACCCGAGTTTGATTCCCCACAAGGGTGGAATGTGTGAAGCCCATTTCTGGTGTCCCCCGAGGTGATATTAGTGGAATTTTGCTAATAGCGGCGTAGTACCATACTCTCCCACTCGCTCACTGTAACGTTAAATCGTGCAAAGTAACATTTATAAAATTTATCTCTAACAATGACTTTGCCATGAAAAATGGCATCAGTTACTAGTCGGGTGGTCAAAATATGTGGTCATTGTACACACATGGCATTGATTGTAAGTTTAGTTTTTGAAGGTACGGTTCTTCATTTGTTGTTCCAGCTGTCTAATATTCAGGGCTAAAGTTACCAGCATATATCCCTTCTTAGAATATATTTATATTTGCAGAAGAGTGGTCGAACTGGTCATCTTGGTCCAGCTGCTCCAGTACATGCGGCGGGTGTGGAACCAGGACTAGAACTAGAACCTGCCTGAAACCTCCCTGCAGGTACGTACCCAGCGGGCACACAACGTTGAATCAACGTTGAATCAACGTTGAATTTTGGTTGTTTGGTTGATCAACCTTTCATAAACGTTGATTCAACGTTTATCATGCGACCAAAGAAAGTTAGTCGAGATTCGTTTAGTTGTCAACGTTGTTTCAACGTAAGGAACCAACAAAATGTCAACTAATTGTTTCCTTGGCAAATTTGATACATAATTCATATTGGTAATAGGTATCCAATTTAGCAACTATCATTTCGGAACATTATTTTCATAAAAGATCAAGATCGAGCTAGTGACAGATATAATCTGATATATTATTTGATTGTGCATCGATCCACGGACGGAAATATTACGTAAATCGCAGTTTTAGGTATAAAGTCATCAGTTATCCAAATTGCATTACATTCGATATTTTCCCACAAAACTGTGAAAATTGTATAATTCCCGACAATTTGTTTCAAACACAAGCCAGATGTTGACCTTTCGATCGCCTCGTTTGGCCATATCCGGACATGCGCACAATTATCGCGCGCGCAAAGGCAGCTGATCGTTGTCAGTTCACTTTGGCGAAGTTCAACGCAATATCGTTCTATTTTCACCATCTTCACGGCATGCTGGTGTTTATTTGGTAAGTATGTCCTTCATGTATTATGAAAACGTAGGAATGCCGTTTAAATCTAGCAGTAGCAAGAAACTCCGAATTAGGGCTCATGTTTTATCTCACAAGGTTACCGGTATGTCACAGTACATGTTTCTCAAAATTTTGTTTTGTTATTTTTCAATATATTTGCATGCATATATAATTTATTATATAATCGAATAAGATTTCCTTTCGTACCCATCACCTGATATACATTTATACATTTATTACAAAATATACATTTTCAAATAATCAATGAAGTACATCAATATAAGGAACCGTTCATAATTAAATATATGGCTGCGGGTGGTGGTGTTGATTGTAAGGGTTGGAGGGTGGGGTGGGGTGTCACCCATTTCTGTACATACTCATACACTTTTAGAGGCGGTGTAATTCACATTGTACATAAAATCAACATCACCCCAAAGCCATACATTATGAACGGTCCCTAAGGGCAGCTATACAAAATCGGATAGGATTAATCAACATTTTATATTGCATCCCATTATTATGAACATTTGTTCGTTTGAATAGATCTATCAGTAAATGAGGCATTGAGCACGCCCTGAACCCTATCAACATATGTATATTATTGGGAGGGTGGTGGAGAATGGCGTAAGGAAATGCAACGAAAATTTTCACTTTAAAATGTCTTGTGAAAGTCTTTGTTAAGGATGAAATTGTATATAATTTATTTGAACTTTTATTTATTTACAAAAAGTGTAACTTCACTAATGATTCTTTGATGGGACAATTAACAAAACTGCACCCACAGACTTTCATTCTCACACTTGTTTGGAAGGGATATGAGAATTCATGTCTCTTAAAGGTTAAAATCTTACATACAAAAGAAGTAATTTTAATGTAAGGAACATTTAATTATGAAATAAGATTATTTTAATGGAATTTGCAGAAATCTCATCTTCGAAGACTGGGTGGCAGCAATTTTGTGGATCACATAAAAGGAGCAAGGCTAAGTTAACACGTTTTTAACATTTCACTTGTTTCCAGTATATCACCACAAAGTTTAAGAGAAACATGATAATGCTCTTTCATTACCACCTGTTTTGAATATTTGTGATAATGTTTGGTCTTTTTTTGTGATAATAGTTGGTCTTTATTTTCATTTATATATTAAGGTTGATCATTTAAGAGAAAAAACTGACAATGATTTCTCCCGGAGATGTTTAGTTTAATGAGCACTCCCTTGCTTGGCGCCATATTGTTTTCCGCCGTAAACAGCTGGATGCAAGATAGCACGAGAGAGGACAGAAGTCATACATTTATAGATATATAGAGATGTTTATTGCTGGGAAACACACTCTTCAGGTATTTGGTCAGCTGTAGAATTTGAATATGATGTTTTTTATTATTGTCAAAGGGTAGGTTTTTCATTATTTGCAATCTAATATGTGTGCAGTGAAACATACTGAGATTTGGAAGAGTCCATTATATAAAGTACAGGTGTTGTTAGATATCAGCATTTTATGTACATGTTCCCTTGTTAAGATTATCTATCGAGTATATTAGAGAGAAGGTGTATATTTGTAGTGTTTTAAATCAGAGTTATTTTCAGTGTATGACCTACATTTAATATGTTTTGGCCACCTGTCACCCCTTTGGTCAAATAGAGTAGGACTTCCATTTCTTGGAATTGAGAGTCAGAGATGCACTGTTTCCAAGAATTTGCGTTAGCCAGCGATGTTTGTTTACGAGTACATTTAAGTCTTTTTGAGTGTAGATTGGGAGTTGTAAGAGATGTTATTATTCAATGTCTTATTATTCATGGTATGATAGATTATTTCAGACAATGTAGAGTTTAATCTCATTATTTTATTGTTCATGATTCAGAGAAGCATAGTTATGACGTCGCAGATAATACGCACACATAATTCATTATATGAGAGATTTTCTAAGCGTTCCTATAAGAGATTAAGTGTAATCATATATGAATTATAAAAAAAGTTATTTATCTGAGTTTTATGAGTGTACAAATGACAAAGAGAGAGAGAGTAGATAATAGAGAATATATTGTATACTTATGAGAGCTCATTATTGTTTTCAGAACTCCATGATCCATACTTCCTTGTGTTTGGGAACAAATGGTGTTGGGAGACCTCCCACAATAGACTTGTTCTTTGACCTGTGAACCACCACCCATTTTGTTTTCTTATCATTTAATGTAAAATGGCTTTTGTTACAATTTATGACTCCTGGTAGCAAAATTGCTACATCAGTTCAACTCCTATTAATTTGAAATAATCATTTCCGAGAATCTCTAAAGAAAACTAAATCTGACAGAATAACAACAATCTTCCATTGTTTTGCAGGACAATGTCAAACAATTTGATGTCAAGAATGAATGTTGATGGGCAAAACGGCAAGTTTTCTTTTAAGAATACAAGGTTGTATTCAATCATCTCTGGTAAGTTAATTACCAAGTGCAGCATTTTCATCATGACCATAGCAAATAATATATGACAGTAAAGCATCGTCTAATTCATCCTACCGGTAATTCATAGTCTAATTAAATAATCAACTTGCAATTGAGGATTTTCTTTGAAAATGTTCCTTCGGTTGAAAATATAAATTGTTTACACTTTTCGTCATATTTTGTATTGATGCTGTTCATATGTTCACATGCCAAGTTACAGCAGTGAAATGAACCTTTCAAGTGATTGATTAAACAAATACTTGAATCATTTAAGACAATATATCTTCCATATAACTTATTCATGTATTTAAATATAAAATTTCAGAATGTGTCCTATCTCAAGGGAATGAGATGGGAATGCATCCGAAGCAAATTTCAAGAAAGAGTTAGGAACGTTTCTGAAGTATCCACCTGACCGCCAGGCAGGGAGTGGCAGAAAGAAGAGGAGCTGAAAATTTTGTTTTTGGAGTTGTAATTGTGTTGAAAAATCTGAACTGTGGTATTGAAATTGGTGGCGTAAATGTCACTTTGATGCTATATGCAGATGATATTGTGTTATTAGCACAACAGAGATCACCTACAGACTATGTCATGTGTGATGTTTTACATTATGCATTAAACCACGTTTTCTGTGTGCGTGTGTGTTCATAAAGATTTCATGAAAAGTGATTTGTTTTATGTGCTGTCTTCAGGTATAGTTCCTGGTCATCTTGGATCCCTTTCATGGTGAAAGTAATTGCATTGTGTTTATTCAGAGGTCTGTCTAAGAGCTGAAATTCAGACAAAATGTCTTCTCGGGACAATTTTCACCTTTTCAAGGTAACAATACAACAGTAAATAGTTTTTCTTAATTTGGAATGATCTTTTCTTCTTACTGGAATTATACGTCCAACTGACATAAAACTTAAATGAACATTATATTGAATGTGGAATTTTAACCAAGTATTTTATCAGGTAAATATTTTACTGCAATTTTCTGTTTGAACACTGTTTATTGCAGGTAGCTTTTTGGGTATTTTAGCTGGATGCAGGAGTTTGGTGCTACTTTATTGTAGTTTAAAGATGAAATGCGAGTCTATTTACAGGAAAGCGTAATACCTCCCAGACACAACCACGGAACAACCCATTTTCAACGTTAATAATATGTCAGACTTCAACATTGATTCGACGTCGGATATCTACGTCAAAAAAACTTTCATATACAACCTATTTTCAATCTATTTTCAACGTTGAGGATCAACCTATTCTCAACGTTGATAATCGGTCAAACTTCAACGTTGATTCCACGTCGGATATCTACGTCAAAAAAACTTTCATATACAACCTATTTTCAACGTTGAGGATCAACCTTTTTTCAACGTTGATAATCGGTCAAACTTCAACGTTGATTCCACGTCGGATATCTACGTCAAAAAAACTTTCATATACAACCTATTTTCAATCTATTTTCAACGTTGAGGATCAACCTATTCTCAACGTTGAAACAACGTTGATGTGCCTGCTGGGTAATGCCATCGTTCAACTGGATGTGTCTTCTGTTGTTCTGGCGTCGAACTGGTCACCAATAACCTGTGGCATGCGTGTCGCCCCACACCACTTGTGCCATGGCTCATTGTTTCATTCAGTGGAGTATCTGTTCAAGCCCCGATTATTTATAGGCCCCCGTCATACAGGTGGGATATTGCTTTTTTGTCACAGTTGGCACAGGGGCGTTGGGGTAGCCTAGTGATTAAAGCGTTCGCTCGTAACACCGAAGACCAGGGTACGATTTCCCACATGGGTACAATGTGCGAAGTCCATTTCAGGTGTCCCCACCCACGGTGGATTATTGCTAAAAGCGGCGTAGAACCATACTCAATCACACACTCCGATTTCCACAAAAAATACCGTTCTATGCCAAATGCATTTTCCAGAGACTAATTGCAGAATATTTCAAAGATGGAAAGATAAATATACCCTTTGTAGCCAAGATGTGATTATAACGGAAAACCGAAATATACGGCCGGGTCGATCAAAACCGAACACGGTTAATCCAATTCCGTCATTCACGAAATCTCTTGCAAATGAACAGCACCTCGATCTTTTATTTCACATGTTCATATGTGGAGTTTATATGTCGCTTGTTTTGCTACACTTCCAGTGGACAAAGCAAGCAAACCGTAGTATGCAACAGACAGGTGTGCCCCATTGTAACCAAGGCGTGTACACAGAGATACAGGTGTGGAGGATGGTGGTTCAGGAAGAAGTATTGTATCAGGTAAGTACCAATTATAACACTTGACATAATCGCACCTGTGCTGAATAACATACTGCTCTTTATCTTTTTATAAATTGTCAACTATTCGAGTACCTATATCCTCAGTCTTGGGGAAGGCCTTTGTCAGCGTAGTTGTATACATTTTCCAGTGTGCACGCTACGGACGTAACGAACACAATCCGAATCGTGTAATCCCCGGGTCATTGTCGCCTTGAAAAGGCGATTTGAAATCAGAAACAAATATCTGATGATGCAATATATGCCGTAACTGGTTCAGTTATGTCTAAAACATAGTGTGTTTCCATGTGAAAAATATGCTAAGTTTCATTTGCATTTGAGACCTAATATACATGTATTAACAAGTGCATTATCATGTCCAAGGTACGTGAAGTGCTATACATTCAAGAGATGTTGCAGCGGTCTCGAAGAGATCAATGGCCAGTGCGTGTAGAAGAGGACCAGGAAGATCCATCCACAAGATCTGCAAATCCACCCAGTCGATGTTGTTATGTTTTTGTTACCTTTTTACAGAGTTCATGCAATTTTCTATAATTTATTTTTCAAAATGATTTTTTGTATGTATTTACAGTATATTTTGCTAATGTGTTCGGTCACGATAATTTGATAACACTGTCGTGGTTCGCTTTTGTATATAGCATTGTTGTGTGTATCATTTGAGAATAAATATGTGTGTGTTTTTGTACTTCCATTTAGTTCATTTACTCCTCCACCTTGCTCTCTTCTTATACACACAAGGTCTAGCTTAGCATCTCCGCCGTTGAGTAAAATCGATATTTTGTAAATACTGAAATTAATAAAACGTAGGGAGTAGGCACAAATACGAGTTCATATCTCGAAATTCAGTGATAAGAATGTGAATGGGACACATAACGGCCTAGCTTACTTAACATAGGGACCCTTGAAGGTTAACTTGTTTAGAGCCGTGAAGATCCGGGTTAGAATTGGTCTTCAGCAACCCATGCTTGTCGTTAGAGGCGACTAACGGGATCGGGTGGTCAGGCCAGCTGACTTGGTTGACACATGTCATCGTATCCCAATTGCATATTGATGCTCATGATGCTGATCACTGGATTGTCCAGACTCGATCATATACAGCCCACCGTCATATAGCTGGACTATTGCTGAGTGCGATTTTAAACAACAACAAACCAACCAACCATTAACATAGGTGAAATAATGTACCTAGAATGCGCTAAAATGTCCGCCTGTGGTCATCTCAGAATTGACGTCCAGCATGGCGACGTTCCGATACACTTACACAAACACATAGACAGGCACATAGGTATTTATTCTCTACTGTAAACTCTGGACAAGGCTGTACATGTATGACAACAGGGATCATTTCAACTTTCCTGTTATCAACCTTCACTTCATGTCGAGCAATATTCCGACAGCTTTGGTTTTTACATTACACAACTTTTGTGGTACGAACGAGATTGCTCTCTTTACCAAAATTTCTAAAAGCGTCGTACGACGCTTGTTCAGTAGTTATTCGATCAAAGATACAATATTCAAGGCCTACGTAAAGATTTCAAAAGTTTTAGAGAGAGCATATTAATGAAATTTCTACATTTGATGCAATTCTTTAGTTTGATTGGTTCAATAAGTTTCCAGGTTCCCGAATTTTCAGGAAAGCACATGACTAACCATTGGACATGTTTAATAACGGGTGGGACAGGATACGCTCACCTTTTCCCGAACTTTTGGTATCGTCACTGTTTGATAGTGATTCGTTAACACATGTTCATCATATACTAGGAATTATACAATCGACTCTATTAATTAGCAGATTTCTTATGGATGTGGAAAAGGGTTTGTCGCATTTCCTGTCTTTTCCTATTCCGGAAGGGAATACAACTGGATGACAAATATAATGGACATGGTTAATAGGACGGTAGTGCGATGCACTTTCTGTCACAGTGATAGGTGATTGTTATGATGGATATATTGTCACTTGCCATCAGTATAACAATAACAATGGTTTTATTGACGAAATGATCGACGAAATATATTCTTCTCGGCTAGGGATATGCCCCATATCAGCTGTACATTGAGGTCAACTTTCTTGTAATCAAGGCCTCTCGTATGGCAAAATAAACGGAAAAGATGGAAACGTCTGTTACGTGGAGACCTTGTATGGCAAGGGACGAGTGCATATGTACATAAGGGTGCGCGCGTGCAGACACACGCAGACACAGATACGGACACAGACAGAGAGACACACATACACAGTCAAGATAGAATTTTGATCAGAACGTGCTGTGTCGCTATCATACTGCTGGAACTTGATACTGCTGAGTTGTTAACAACAAACAGAACAAAAAAGAAAACAAAAATCATATTCTGAACAAGCATGCATTTGTACATAGTAATGTTGAATAGGATACCTTGGCTAAACATATTTATACATCACTGTATGTGGCTCATCAAATATGTCATTCTTGACTATGCATGAAACAATGAACATTTCTACCATGGCTACGTGAAATGCTCGAATTTGATTGGTCAAGCCATAATTATTACCTTCTATTATAAAAATATTCAAACTCAATTACAATACACAGCCCCAAACATTTAACAAACAATATCTAACATATAAATCAGAAAACCTTGTAAAAATACATCCCTGTCTATCCCTATTTGTGCGGCAAAACGTTCGTAAACATTTACCTACCTGGTAAATGGTATATTTGTTTCCGTTAAGAATGGGAAATTCGCAAGATAACGGTCAGGCGAAACACAAAATTTGCCACTCATACTCCATCATGTCCCGTTGCATCGTTCAAAATGTCAAAACTGAACCATGAGAATTCAGTTCTCTGCCACCTTCCCCGAAGGCTGTCACTGCTATGTTCGTACACTTTGAAAAGCTTGGCCACAATCCAGTCCCAAATGATGAGAACAATGTTCCAAGGAATCCCAAGTTAGTCGCATGTACACAAACTTTATGTACAAAGCAGCACTGTCACTCTTTCGTCGCATGCCGGGGTGGAGGCACGTACGTGAAATCATGATCGACACTCGCCGGTCATAAAAATCAACAGTCTTTGATGAGATACAGGTTATAGGTCGATCAGAAAAGGATCTATTCTTCGATTCTGCAGGGTTCAGGTTGGACAGTCAGTCAAGTATTTTCCACTGTCACTTCGAATTTCAACCTTTCGCAAAATGTAAACACTGGCTCGTCCGCCATTTCAAACTGTTGCGTAACTGTCTACTTCCAAGAAGATAAGTAGGTCAGACGATTCCATTATACTGTGGCCAGGGGGGTACAGTAATACGGCACACAAAACAATAGGCTGGTTTCGGTCTTGTGGAGTTATGATTATAAAAACCAAGCTCTTAGGTGTTACATTATTGCATTGAATAAACAGTAGTTTGTTTTCTTTGGACAGAATATTTTTATGTTGCAATGTTAAAAAAAAATACGAACGGAACACTACCACTCCTTTATCAGACGAGTTAAATCATTCGCCTCTCATCCCATGCCGGATTACGCAGTGTCTTCCGCAGGACGAGGAAGTTCGATGTTAAATCGGTTATGGTAGAATGTGTTTGGAAATTAGATGAATGTTAGACCGAATTGATAGTCTCTAAATTTTATTTGAAGCCGAACGCGTAGCGTGAGGTATTTGTATCCAAACATTGTTGTCACTGGAGGAATTGATTGTCTCCTACTTTGCACAGATCCAGTTACCGTTGCCACGTGATGATAAAGTTATTACTACAGGCCCGAAACATGACCGTTTATCTTACCTTCATGTAAAATGCTTAAATTTCATTGGTCATGATCAATGACGCGTTAACAAGTTTCCGTGTCACCCGTTCCAGGAGTGTGACAAATGGATAAAATTTTACCCGCTGCCACGGTAACCGCCAAACTCTCCGCCGAAAACCTGTATCGCTAACAATGGTATGACGTCATAATATGACGCATGCAGTGCCCGGAGTTCGAAAACCGTTCGATTAGCTGTTTTTGAGTTAACTATATACACATTTATTTTACTGATTTTCACTGCTTTATTTAAACTATTTTATACATTGAATAGTTAGCACTCAACTTAAACATAATTAACCATTTTCATAGCAGTGTTAAGCTTGTCAGAATATGTTTAACTGATTTCAAAAAATCCAGTCGAGAGTAAGACGGCATTTTGTTCACATGTCATATAGTGGGTAGCGATCTTCAAAATATAATAAAATCCTATTTTGTACATTTAACATGGCGGTAAGATAAATATGTTGTATGCTTCTCCCTCGGGTAATACGGTCTGATGTACGTCTCTTTGTAGCAGTAGACCGCCTCCGTGGTCTAGAGGTTAGAGCGTCTGCCAGGAGAGCGGAAGGTCGCGGGTTCGATCCCCGACCGTGTCATACCAAAAGACGTTAAAATATGGTACTTGTTGGTCCCTTCCTGGCGCTCGGCATTCATGGGTACAACAAGGACTGGTCGGCTCGGAGTCAGTATAATGTGTCGGCATGGTATCTCAGTGGGCTAGCACTATAAAACCAGCTTAAGTCTGGCCTAGTACAAGCAGCCGCACATGCACATACACGCGCATGCACGTCGTCATATGAGCGAAATATTCTCCAGCACGACGTTAAACCCAATTTCACCCCACCTCACTTTTGTAGCAGTGTCAACCAAGCCGGTAGGCGAAGGATGACACTGCTACAAAGAGGCGTACATCAGAGCTTATTACCCTCGAGAGAAGCATATAACGGTCAAGATCATAGAAGGGTTCCACTTAAAGTTTTTGACAGGAGTTGCTGTTGAACAGGACATCGTCAAGCACATGACTTTCTCATACAACTCTCTGACTGGTGTTTTGGTAGATTCGAAGTTCCTCATAGCTGGTATTACCATTGCGTTCCCTCGTCGAGTCATCAATGCCCTCATAGAGGGTATGTTGTTGAGCACCTGCAGCATAAAACACGAGAGTAAGTATTTGTACACGAGAGAGCATGATAAAAGGACATGATATGGAGTGACTATAGCTCAAATCTGAAAGAAGGTTGCGCGTTGGTTGGTAATCTCCTGTTCTCAAAACATATTGGAAACATTATTTATTACTGGTAGATGACGATTACCAGATTACAAGAATTGTCTGAATTCAAAGTGATCTGAAATGAAAACAAGGTGACTCGGAAAACTATTTTAAACATTCAAGAAAGAACGAAAACGAACGTATCTGTATGTACAATTACATGTTACATAATACAATATGGACCCTCTATACAATAATTTAATTTCAGCTTTCATATGACAACAGGTATATGGGAAAGTGGAATCAATGTTGCAGTATCCCGCAATTTTAGGTTAAATAGCCAAGACCAGTAAGCGGTTAGTCTTGGACAACACAAACCAATGACACAATTGCAACTGAAAACTAAACCTTATATCTACACTTTCAAGGCAAGATTGACATGCAGTCAGGTAAGTCAAGAATTCTGACTACCCCATGAAGCCAATTATTTAGTTGTCAGATACGACCAAGACTACAATTCTGGAAACAAGAGACTACAGAGATGTTCTGGCAAAGCGAGAAAACAATGACGCATAAAGATGGACAGCCAAAACACAAGCTTTGGCAAAGACTGACTGACCGACTGAGTTTGCTTTTACGCCGGTTTTAGCAATATTCCAGCAACATCACGGAGGGGGACACCAGAAATGGGCTTCACACATTGTACCCGTGTGGGGATTCGAACCCGGGTCTTCGGCGGGACGAGCCAACGCTTTAACCATTAGGCTACCCCACCGCCCCCTTTGGCAAAGAGAAAGCATCCCTTACTTCTCGCTTTTATGTGTATCACTTCTAACTGTCTTTCAAAGATAAATACCACGGCATCCATTATGAGTAATGAACGATATGTTTTCTTGGTAATGCCTGAGGACGAATGGTTCTTTTCACGATAACACTGATGGGATCACAATAGAGCAGTGAGCGTCACGTTGATAGAATATCAGAAACAATAAAGTATTCAAACTGACCTCTCTGAAGTGTATCTTTGTAAGTTTCCTCTGTAGTGATCATGCATGTATAACATACACAATACAGAGTCAAACAAAGCGAGCTTTTCGTAAATGGTACAAGTCGTTTTGACTTAGTTACCATGGAAAACTTAAGAATCTGAATGCCAGCGAACCCATGCTTGTCGTAAAAGGCGACAAACGGCATCGGGCGGACAGCCTCGCTGACTTCGTTGACACGTGTCATCGTATCCCAGTTATGTAGATTTATGGCAATGCTGTGGATCACTGGATTGTCTGGTCCAGACTCGATTATTTACAGACTGTCTCCATGTAGCTGGAATATTGCAGAGTGCGGCGTTAAACATCAAACCAACAACCAACCATGCAAAGCCAAAATGATTAATTCTCAGCTTGTGGTCATTGCAAATATCTTAAGCCCGTGCAAAGCAAAACTTTGAATAAGCATGCACATTAAAGCAAACAGGACAAAAAGATTCAAGTCCAAACTTCCAAGTTTACCAGAGGATAGCACTGCTGTGTCTGTTGTATTCCTGTAACAGGAGGAAGAGCGTCATCAGTTTTCAAGTAATGCATATGAACACTATTCAAAATCAGATAAAATGTATACTTTAAATACTCACATCGTCGCTTCGGTCGTCTGTCTGTTTTCTGCAGCTGCCAAAAAGACATGATTATAAATGTTGTTATCCCGTTACAACAGCTTGCCAATGTTGTACAGCATTAAAAGACATTTCATATATCCCATATATATATATATGTTAGTGGAAACTTTTTACGAGTTAATCATCATTTTGTTCTTCGCATGCTCGTAGGACCTAGATTGGGAATGACATCAGTCAATTAAGTTAACATTAATAATCTCTTGAATGTAGTGGAATACAACCAACCCGTGACTGTTTGCCGTCTTCTGTATGCGGTGAAAATAGCTACCGCTACAAGGAGGGGGACGAGGCATACAGTCATCCCGACGCCAACGCCAGCGCCGAACGTCAGCCCTACATGGAGACATCAATTAAGCACATGTCTGTACAACATATTTCCTTGTTGAAAATAAAAGGTTTGTTGTAAATAATTGTAGCATTATTGAAGTAAATAAAGTTGATTATTGAAAATTTTCGTTTCAAAACATGCTAGCAGACATATCTTAGGACTAAACCGTTTCACGCTATTCCCAGACACATCTAAGATATGTGAGTTAGGAGATTTTACAGATATGCTGATACAGCTTCAATAGCAATGCAAATGTTTTTTGTGAGTAAGTGTGAGTGAGTTTGGTTTTAAGCCGCTTTTAGCAATATTCCAGCAATATCACGGCAGGGGACACCAGAAATGGGCTTCACTCATTGTACCCATGTGGGGAATCGATCCCGAGTCATCAGCGTAACGAGCGAACGCTTTAACCACTAGGCTACCTCACCGCTCCTCGTTTTTGTGAAGTCTGCTGTGTTGTTTTACGATCACTTTGTGGTAAAATTTGACAATGGTATAATACACTATACAATATTACATGTCATGTGACATTAACGAAATGTGTTTCATCACCTCCAACTTCCGTCTCAGTCACGACAACAAGCTTCCTTGTTGAACAATTCAAAACAGTATCAACACAATAGAAGTGGGGCTGATGATAAGTCTAAGCCCACGTACAAATAATTACATGGGGTGTTTGTTTAATTGTGTGATTGGATGTGTGGGTGTTTAACGCCGCAGACAGCAATATTAATTCAATTTCAGTGGCGTTCTGTAAATAATTGAGTCTGGACCTGACAATCCAGTGATCAACAACATGAGCATCGCTCTACGCAATTGCAATATGATGACATGTGTCAACCAAGTCAGCGAGCCCGACCTACCTATCCCGTTTATCGCCTCTTACGACAAGCATGGATTGCTGAAGATCAATTCTAATCCGGATCTTCACAGGTAGTATTATGTGGTAAAATTTGCTGATGGTACATCATTCCATTTAACATCATATGCCATAAAACCACATGCCAATAAAAGTGTTTAATCACCTCGAACGTCCGTCTCTGTGACGACAACAGGATTCCTTATTGAACTATCCGTGCCTGTTTCAAAACAATATCAACACATAAGATGTAGGGCTGAAATTAACTCAACGTACAAATAATTATACGTAGTGATTGCTTAATTATGCGATTGGCTGGTTGGTTGTTTAACGCCGCACTCAGCAATATTCCAGCTATCTGTATGGAGGCGTTATGATAAATGTATAATATACATCATCTTACACCCTATTTTAACTATTGTCATAATACAATTATTGCGGTACACTATGTTAAATTGATAAATATGTTATATTATATTGTCCTGCTGCAATTATGAAATTAATATTCATCTTGACAAAATAAAGTGACACGTTTGGTTTGGTTGTTGTTTAACGCCGCTCTCAGGAATATTTCAGCTATATGACGGCGGTCAATCCAGTGATCAATAACATGAGCCTCGATGTACACAATTGGAATATGATGGCATGTGTCAATCAAGTCAACGAGCCTGACCACCCGATCCCATTAATGCCTCTTACGACAAGCATGGGTTGCTGATTTCTAATCGAGATCTTCATGGGTCGACACATTAGGCAAGTGCCTGCATGTAGTTTCCATCGCAGACTACCAGGAAGTACGTTCTGTGTAGTACTGATAGCAAATGTATACATGTTATCATTCATACCCTCCACAGCAAGTTGTATCACTTTCGATGTGAACTTCAAATTCATTTCATTGTAGCTTCCGTCACATCGTATTTCCTTCATGTGAATTCCTGGAGTTACCGTTCTTGCGAGATTACTAACGGTGGTAGTAAGACCTTCGCTATCGCGTGACCTTGAAGTCACACCACCTGTGACGACATCCTCTCCAATCATCCATGTTATTGTAGATGGTGGTTTTGTCGGGTTTGTCTCACACACCAAAGTGACCCTTTCGCCTTCTGTGACTCGCTTTACCCGTTGTGTTGAATTGAAAAGTGTGATTCTCTTCAGGGGAACTGACAAATATAACGGTACAATGAGTTAAACTATGCATTTATCTGCATCAAGAGGCATTTATTCCAGTCAGATGACGACACAGAGGCCACATTTGTATTGCCAAGGGAAATATTGCAAGAATTTAGTATTCTCAGAAGTCCTGGTTTGTTTTGGTAAGGGACACATATTTATACTTTATTACTTCAAATCGAAAGTAAAATGTGATTTCGTTTCCCGATCGACAATTATTATTTAACTGACAACTATATTTTTCTGACTGTAAACATTATACTTCAGTTTGTAAATCTGAGGCTGTAGTCTCTCCATGGAGTACATATACCCGCACACATACTCATACACACACATACAGACATACACACATGTACACACACATAGTCATATACGCATATACTCATACATACAAACATACTCATACACACACATACTCACATGCAGACATATACACACAGTCATACCCACATACTCATAAATACACACATACTCATACACACACATACTCATACATACATACATGCAGACAGACAGACAGACTCATACATACACACATACTCATACACACACATGCTCATACATACAGACAGACAGACAGACAGACATGCATGCATGCAGACAGACCGACAGACATACTAATACATACACACTCATACACACACATTCTCATACCATGACCGGATTTACGTATCATGTTTTCAGATATTTCCTTTGGCATATATTTCATACAAATCTATACCTTTGAAACATATGCTCATCGTACATTTTCGTATGCACAAGCACCTCGTCATTGTATGCCATGACCGGATTGTCAGGTATTTCCAAACATGAATTGCAAAACAGATACCCAAGTAAATACATGATCATACAGTATTTCCAATGCATTCAAATGAATTTCAGTGGGTGCTGAAATTTCCGATTTTGTTCTAAGTTTACTCGGGATGGAAACATGTAAATTTACTTAGGTGGGAAAACACATGTACATTTTCAATTTGCAGATGTTTACACATCTTAGATATTTATGAATCATACCTGATTTCAGGGGTATGTATATGAACGGTTCATACATCTTCATGTTACCTGTGCTCAAGCTAGATGATCATATGTTTTCATCATGTGAATTACTTGGGTCATGTAATTTCATTTTTACACATTTTAGTACTTTTGAAATCAACGTTCACGTGACCTCATTATTCTTATCACCAAAAGGTCCTGGCAAGGAAAGCAGTATTACGCAAGCTAACACGCCTTACAAAGCTGCACTCGCTCTTGCTACCAGTATCAGTTACGCCTTGTCGACGGTGTTGGCATATCTTGTGACGTGCTTGTTTCGAAGGATTAAAATGTTCAGTGGTGAACAAAGGGCGATGAGGTGCCCCTTTGTCCTCAGCTGTCCCAAGAGAATAGCACTTTATCTCACACAGCCAAACACGCTACACGAACCAACTGAGTTCAGCTCGCGGATCACTACTGTAAAATAATTTTTGGCAATACAAAATTCGAATATTATTGCACTGCATGTGACCTTTCTTAATAGTATCACAGTGTATCACATTTATTTCACTAACACTAAAGTAACAAACGACACGATAACAAACGATGCCATATCAAATTATATATTCAGTGAGAAATGAAAAAGAGTTTCTATTGTGTAGTGATTAATACCGGATAGCACAGGCGGGTGCGTTCTCTGAATATAACATGGGCATGTTGGACCTCCGTACGTCTTGTGAAATTCGTCTTGATTGTCCTGTTTAAATTGACGATCCATAAACCCAGATTGCGAAAGCAAATGTCTCACAAGTAAATGTGATGCTGGATTGCTGTAATTTTCCCCGTCGGAGAAGTCCTTCTCACAAGATATATATTCCGTTGTTTGGAGCAGGCCTATGACTCCTACGCCCCAGTGTTGCTAAACATCTGGTAGACGTTTAGCTTGGCATAGACGCAGACGTCGCATGTTTACGTTCAGATCTGACAGATGCCGAAAATATGGATTCCGACATGAATGCAATATCTCATTGGGTAATTGTTTTCCTAAATAAGTGGAGTGTTTTCTACCACACTGGAGATACATGTATCGTTGACCTTCTGATATTCCCCCGAACGGAAGCTCTACCCCATTTAGGGTACAATGTGTATGTAGGGAATAGTCTTAAGACGTTTCTACTTTAACCAGGATTCCTCGAACTTGTAGCAGTCGTTTGAGAAGATCCGGATAGAAAGGGGTAGTACGCGATGTATCTGACGGACGTATATGGAGAAAGTTCGATGAATGTTACTGTATAAATACAATAATAGAAATACCGGTATGTGTAAAAAGTACCCTCAATCCGATAGCCAGAGAGATTATTGTGAGAGGTCGCAGTATGTATCATCATAAACGGGCCCAGATAATGGTACATGTCATTCATTCCCATATGATATCCCTTTTATAGACACGGGGCATCGTTGTTACAGGTAGGGCAAACACTTTCTTCTACAGGTATCTGCCGGTTTCACGATACATACATGTATTCAGATTATTGAGAAAAGTAGCGACGCAAGTTCTCCTCCATCACATATATAATTGTATACATACCCAGTGATGAGTGATAGCGTTGAAGCAACTTATTAAAATTTACGACATCACTGTCATCCGGAGTAGTACTGCCATACCTAGCATCGTATGTATTGCTCTCTTACATAAGGTGAAATATCACAGGCTTGTCATGGTAACGATAATTTGGCATACTATTTATTGTCGTATTCTTTAATCTGCGATTAGAATTAAATCAGTTTTGACGTGAGCATGTTAAGACAAAAGAAACTGTAAAACGAAAAGTATTATGATCGAATGTATAGGCCTTTGTAAAAGCAAGTTTCAAGCCACCTACATAAAAACCTGTTTTCATGATAAATATCTGCTAGTCCGTGGCACGATTCCGACCATATCGTGAACATGTGTTTGTGAATAATAATCAAATAGTGATGTTACAAGGCGTCCATGCCGCGTCAACAACACATGCAAACGCGCGAGAATTGCAATACGGGCCCCTAAACCACTGATTCTCCGTGACCTGGAAACTAGGGGTGACTATTGAGGAGGAAACAATTATTGCGATATCGATAGTCTATTGCAACATACCATTGTGATAGCGATAGTCTACTGCGACCAACTATTGCAATACTATTGCAATAGTTTTTTCTCCTTGAATTTTCTCATTTGAAGTCATTTCCCAAATAAATGTATAGTTTATGTGAAATAAAAACAAGCTGAAGTAGTTTCAGTCTCTTTTAATAACTGACAAGAAACTTCAAGTAAACAGTTAAAACATAAACTCAATGAAGCCGAATTCTGCACCCAAACTTCTTGTATTTTGAGCTGCGCATTAATCAACGGAAGTCAATTACTAAACTATCGATAGTCACACATACTATAGAGGCATCGATAGTTTTTCACTTCTACCATCGATTAATTGCTATCGGAGACTCAACAATTGCAATCCATCGATAGTTCGATGCATCGTTACAGCCCTACTGGAGACACATGTGATTGAGCGTATGTAGGGACGGGTAATAGACAAAAGACAAAATGGATACTCGTGCTGTTATACTTTTTGAATTATATGTAAACATTCGTTCTTGTCTAGGAATAAATGTATATTTTCCAATTTCAACCAAATGTACATTCGAAGGATATTGAAATCTAGGTTAAGCTATTTGAATCATATTTACAATTAAAAGACCCAAACAATGGTTTGTTGTCCAAATGTTTTGTTTTCCAAATCTTGTTCCAGCCTGTATCACAATCCCAGAACGATATTATTTCCCCTTCCGCACATCCCGTGAAGCATGTCTAGATATTCCCAGGTTCAGCGTCTGTTATAATCTGCAGGAAAACTAACTGCAGGGTTCGGGTTACAGAGTAAACAATACCAAACACCGGCGGCTGGCGGGACCAACATCTTCAGTAACATTTACATCTGCCAACGCTTAATTCGCAAGTGGTGAGGCAATAAGCTAATGACTGACTGACTGAGTTTAGTTTTACGCCTCTTTTAGCAATATTCCAGCAACATCACGGCGGGGGACACCAGAAATAGGCTTCACACAATGTACCCTTGTGGGGATTCGAACCCGGGTCTTCGGCGTGACGAGCCAACGCTTTAACCTCTAGGCTATCCGATCCCACCGCCCCAATAACCTAATGAGGCCAAGGGTCCTGTACAATGTTTGTGAAATATCTATGATGCCTCATATGAAGTCTATAGTCGTAGCAAGTCTAGCTATGTATGGCTTTAAGTCACTGCTTGAAGAAGGGCTCCTTTAGAATTTTGTTTGGTAAATATTAGTATTTCACTGACTTAATCATATTGGAAAACACGTGGCAACCTATACTTCATTGTGACTATGATTAAGATCATTGTAAAGCACAAGGGTTATATCCTTTGAGTTAACTGACAGGCTTTCGGTGTCAAATATTTGGAACTACAACCAAAGGTAATGTTATGATGTCTGGAAATATGGTTGTTAAATGTACATATGGTGTTTTTGAAGGATAATCTCAGCTGCATCAGATACCTTGCATGTGTTTTCCCCACTCTTTCCACACTTTTAAAATCAATTTTCTATATATGTCTGTAAGGAAATGCTGTAAAGAAATGGGATGGCGGAATTTGGCCACCTGAGGTAGTAATCGCAGCATTCTGGTTACACTGTGCTGAGAGAGGACAGAGCTTGGCAAGATACCAATAAATATGCTTGTCATTTAAACCTTTTTCTGATGTTTGTGGAATGTGATTTTATAATTGAAGATGCTTCTGCATCTATAGCCCCAATATAGATGTTGCTAGTCTGTGAAACTTCCAAATTACTTGGTCTTTTTTTCAATTGAAATTAGTTCAAACACCGGATTTTGACCTGACAAGTGAACGCTTTAACCGCGAGCGTACCCCGTCATTCCTTGATACTGTTAAAGAAACACACATTGGTACATTTATTATACATTCAAGATTGAACCCAGTTTTATCACCATGTATCATTCAGTTTTTATGTTAGTGAAATGATCTGCACACTGATAATTTAAAACAGGTATATAAATAATAATTGTTTTCAATCTTTAACCAATTTCGTTTTCCATTTATTTAGGAATTTTCAGTTTCTATTTCCCTGGAAATTCTGAACGAAGGTACATTTAACAGTTTCACCCAATAACAGTTAAGCATACAAATATAAGTTTCGGTACTTTGATAGATTAGTAAGTACACATTATATTCAATGATGCTGGGGTGCCAAATGATTAACATATTAATTATATTATGTATAACAAATCAGACAGCAAAAAGCAAAAGCAAAAATAAAAACGCATGAGTAACATAAATGCTGTCAGGTGGTAAACTGCCAGTAATTATCGAAACTGCTTAGTTACCTAAGCTTATGAACTAATTACAATCACAAGAATTTTCTATAATCTACCCTAGATATGGAATCAGAAGAGGTGTACAGTTATGTATATTCCGTCGGGGAACTGACATTTGAGAAAACATCCGTATGGGCTTATATCTGGATTCCGAAAACAAAAGAGGTTGTACCAAGTATGTGCATGTTTACACATTTACAACAGTGATTTACATAGGAAATCATTAATACATTGTAATCATCTTTTTTGAAAGTATAATTAATGACATTTGTGCAGCTATGATCAGTCAGATAACTCATACAGTTGTGCACTAAGATTAAGAACCTACCAGTTCATGTTTTTGTGAACACATCTGTCTGTGTTTTATTGTAATTAGCAGTGTCCCTTTGTATGTCATATATACTTCCCATCAAAGTTTAGACTTACTCAAAACACTCACTATTTTTGTCTTTGTGTGTGTGTGTGTGTGTGTGTGTGTGTGTGTGTGTGTGTGTGTGTGTGTGTGTGTGTGTGTGTGTGTGTGTGTGTGTGTGTGTGTGTGTGTGTGTGTGTGTGTGTTACATCGAAGATTGATTGCTCTACTAACTTGGGGGAACCAACTGCATCACATCGCTGAATAGCACGTGCAAATATCGTGCATGTGAACAGCTGCGTTTTGGTGAAAGGTTTTGGTACGAATTCGCCAATTTTCACTGGGTTTTATCATTTATTGAACTCATGACAATAATCTTTTCAACGTTACGAATTTGTTTTTCAATACATCAGTAAACAGTACATTTAAACAATATGGAATATGTTTGCAAAATTCAGTTTAGAACAGTTGCCTGAAGTAAGTGGCTATATTTACACTAGTGAGTCTAAACCTTTGATGGGAAGTATATAAGCAATGCATCTAAGGTCAGATATTTAAACTGCAATGTAATTTCCATAACAAAAAGTATAAACAATATTACCTACTGATCAGAAAGGCTTATTAGTACCCATACCCTCTCCCTCTCCCTCACATGCACGCACACATACAGATACACACATACACTCCTCCATGTGTATGTCAAGAAAGGAACGCACGTTAACAGTGGTGCTCAGTCATGGGTATCACTTCGCCATGTGTTTCTAATGATCTCAGTACATTATGGCGTGGTCGGTATTGCTAACGAAAGTGATGTGACAGTTATATTACAGAACCATTGAAATACATGTTAAAGTAGTGTCAATCTTATAACACTCTATTTACCCATTACCAATTATTTACGCGTGTATTAAATATATGACAAACCTAACCTTGGTCATACGAGATTTCACTGAGATCCATGCTAGAAAACACGTGAAAACAATGGCCAGATTTGCACACCCGTGAAACCTATGTAAATACAGAGTTGAGTGTTCAAATATTTTAACGTTACATGTGAAAAAATAAATTAAATGAACGTTTCTCACCATTGACATCAAGAGATACACTGTTGCTTCTATAACGTAGGAATTCACAGGTCCAGTTCGAGTTCTGATACGTGTCAAAGTCAACGTTGGGAATTGTCAGAGTGCGACGGCCATTTGTCGAACAAGTACAGTTATAGATGGCAGACATACAGCTCAGTTCGTCTCCATTGAAAGTGTTACATATCAAATCGTATTCCTGCGTTCCAGTTTTCAACTGTCGAGTCCAGGTAATCCCTCGAAACCTGTACGAGACTGATCCCGTGTCACAGGTGAAGGTGAATGGATGCCCAGTTACAGCCGATAAGGCCGATCCCGTCAGGGTAATGTTCATTATTTGACCTAATGAAGAATAGGTTTGTTATCAGTATGCATAGAAATGAAGGATGATTTCACAATAACATTAGACTTTTCTTTATTGAAGCATTATGATTTCAGATTTTCAGTCTATAATTAACGGAAAACCAGCTACCTACATGTATATAAGATATTTCAGCTATACAAAATACAGTACGGAAGCCTAGTGGGTCACCTATATTACTGTTCCCACTATACTACTCACAATTTGCCAAGCTAGGATCGCAAAAAGTCACAACTTTACTTAAACGTAAATTTATAATTTGAAATTGTATCCATTTAAAACTGGATAAATAATAATATGGTAACCACTCTTCAGGCAAATACTCACTTTAATCTAACCTTATGCAACTGATACATGAGTAACCATAAAATGGTTTTCATGGCACCATTCAACCATTTTGTAAATCATGGAAGGAGTCATTGACAAGTACACAACACCTGTCAGTAGCAGGTATGGGATCCACCAGACGAAATGACATACTGAAACCTAGGAGCCATGCTTACAATAAGCTTAGATATTTAAACCAAATTGGACCTCACATCATAGTTTTCTGTTGAATCCATGATTTGATCCTCAGCAAATTGTGCATAGTATATGTTAGAGGCTCTTGTCATGAGAAAATGGTTTTGCAATGTTTTCATCTGCCACAGATCTTCAGCTAAAGGAGCCATTCTATATGCAGATTTAAAACAATTCAGCGTTAATATAATTTTACCGATACACCACGCAACGAATTACTATAGCCATGTCGCCATAGCAACACTGTGACACACATCGCATGCTTTTAATAATAATATTATTTGTAAATATCGCTATGACATAAACATTACGGTTCAGTCTAAAACCCTGTGTTTTTACGATTCGACGTTAAGATGGTCTTCCCAGTTAGGTCCGTTATATTTGTGTTTGGTTAACTGACTTGTTTAAATTGTCAGAGGTAATACATATACAGAGCTGTATAACACAATATCAAACCAGGAATTGAAATTGTTCTAAATATAACAACGATACACATTAACGTAAGTAGATACCTTCGCATGTAACCGGAAGTATAAGAAGTGACAGCAGGAAAGCAGGACTTGACATGGCTTGGAGAATGAGACTGAAACACAGGATATGACAGGACCATTTACGCCTAGAAGAAATATCGCATTTTAAAGTATATTCTAAGTACAAAATAAAAAAACAACAACAATTAGAATCAATACATAGCGAACTGCATCCCGAATACAATGGATAATGCGTCATCATCAACAACACACAGAACAGTTACCGGAGATGAAACTGTACATTGTGGATGCGCACCGTATGGTCAAAGCATAGAGGATACCGTTCATACTGTCTTGGTAGTCTCTCTGGAGCGTTCGACTGTAAATGTACTGATTCAGCACTGGTTATGTATATGAATCTTATTACTGATTTTATCGTACATGTACCCTTCAGGTTATACAAGTATGAAGACTCAATTGATTCATGCTTTTCATCAACAATTTATTTCGAAACGTATCAATTCTTATTTCGTTTTAGGCGTTCAGTAATACATTTAACCCATATTGATGTCATTGGGGATTTTGAAAATTCAACAGGCAGAAACGAAATATTCAAACAAAATTTCAACATAATGAAATCGTGAAAGTTTTTTTTCGAGAAATAATGATTTTCCATGTCTTGTAATATGAATACCCCAGTGTATTATCATTTATTACAGTGAAAATGTTTTCGAGAAATTTTCCAGGTCTTGAAATACGAAAACGTCAGTGTATTATTATTTATCATATAATACATCCCTACTTAACCAGTAGAAAATACTTCAATTTTACATGCGTCGTTATGCACGATTCGATCTTAGCCTGACCTGTTATGAATATGTAAAGTCAAACTGCTTCAGATCGTTGCTAAGACTGAACCATTGAAAATATTTTTTAATAAAACAAACAATCAGAGTCGCTGGTCTTGTACCTACTCTTGTTTTGCAGATGTGTCTTGCTTGGCCATGCACCCTTAACTCGATACGGTCCCATGTTGAATATATATCGTTTAAGATTTCATTTTGTGGAATTTGACGAGTCCTTACTGGCACTGCAACATCCTGGCACCCTTTTAAGTACTGTTAACCCGATATGTATTGTTAAATCGACATGTTCGAAAGCCCCAAGTACTCCAGTTTAACAGACTTAATAGTATATGTAGCGCTTTGAGCATACAGTTTTGTATGGAATCCAGCGCGGTATAAATGCACATATTACTATTATTGAATGTACACGAAATGTCCAAGGAGGCAAATATTGGCTGGCTTTCTGACGATTTCATTTAAGTAAATATTATGGACATTCGTAATTACTTATCTTACATTATAAAATGTATGTTGAAATGTAAGAGTGAGAGAGTGAGTTTGATTTTAACATCAACATCTGGGCGGGGAAGACCAGAAATGGACTTTACACATTGTACCAATGTGGGGAATCGAACCGGGGTCTTCAGCGTGACGAGCGAACGCTTTAACCAATAGGCTACCCCACCGCTCCTTAAAACGTAAAAGGTGTGCATACTTACTTCTATGTCTTGGTCCTTTCAAAGCACTTTAGCTTCTTGTATAGCTGCGATGTAACGTTGCATGTTCAGTGTGAATAAGGAAATACTAAATTGACTTGATACGACACATAACTGACAATTTAGCTTCCTTGTTGATGTGAATCATGTACATTTCCACAAAGCGATGCATGTATCCCTATTTCCGTTGTTTATTTTATTTTTATCTACAGTCGACATTACCGAAATGAGACAATACAATGACAGGATTCTGTAACTTTGACCTTCTCGACATGATGTGTCATTTTACGATCTGAACGAAATCCCCGATAAGGAGCATTACATGTAGATGAGTAACTTGGTATATGACAGAGCGGAGTAAGTGAGTATTAGCAACATTCCAGCACTAACAAGGCGGGGGACACCAGAAATTGGCTTCACAAATTGTACTCTCGTGGAGAATCGAACCCGGGTCTTCGCCATGACGAGCGAACGCTTTAACCAATGGGCCACCCTACTGCCCACTGGGCGTCTCTGCACTCTTTTGATGAAACAAATCGCCTTGTTAGTGTAAACGTCAATTCAGGTCCTCAGACAAGGTTTTATTGGTCTTTGTTTGGTCACTATCTAAGCTTTAAATAGTTTTATAGTCCTGTGTATGTTTGTTCAATAGAACCGACACACAACTGTGTTTTCTTCACAGCATGCCGATGGTTACAACAAATCAAACTCATAATATCATTACAGATTCTCAGATTTGTATAATGTCGTTAATACATTAGCTATATTTGCAAAGCAGTTGCACTTCACAGAGTATTTGTGATTATAACATATGTTGAATGTTAAATATTTTGAATCCGCTTTACGCAACGGTTAAAAGGTATTATCACAGGGGCTTGTAACGCTAGAAACTGCCATCAAGGTATGTACTGTCACTAACGGGGTCTTAGCACTATATAAAAGGAAAGAGGTGTAACGAGGTCAACACACCAAGTTCGTTTCAGGGCGAATTCAACAATGCTTACTGAATTTATCCCATTTAAAATGGCACAAATTTCAAGCCAATAGATTTAAGACATAGAGCACAAAAATCGAAGCAGTACTTTGGGAGCTAGGGTCTACGGAAGCTCGATAAATTGTGAGTTCTCGATTCCGAGCCAAAATCCCTGCTCAGAATTTGTAGCGGTAACTCACCCATGTTCTTGTTTATTTTACAGTATACAAAAAACGACATGCACGAAAACATGTTGAACTGATGGCACCTGTCAGAGCGCTAGTCGCCATTCTTTCGGAGACACTTACACCTCACTATCATAATGAGTTTACGTACATTTATTCATCGCAAACATAATTGTGTCGTGCCCGTTCGCCATTGATGACCTTGGCAATAACCTGCCCCGCACTAAAACGAACAAGGGAGCTCATTGGCTATAAATAAAATATGTCTCATTAGATCGCTTTCCTATAACGAACTGACTTAGTATCCTTTTATATAGTGCTAAGATCCTGTTAGTGACAGTACATACCTTGATGGCAGCTTTTAGCGTTACAAGCCCCTGTGGGTATTATTACATCTTGTATACGCTTCTGTGACATATAGTAAGCTAGCTGTATCCTATACAGTAACAGCAATATACATATATCATTCAGGCCAATGTGTCGTTAATCAAGATTTTATTCAATTAACAGATAGGTATTAGATCATAATGAATTACAAAAGCACAATCATGCAATGTCCCAAAATAAATATTAGAGCGGAATTAAAAGATAGGAAAATTAATGAAAGTATACTACATGAGAAAAACAAAACTATTATCCTGGTATAACGCATCCTCGATAATCTCCAGGGTATACGTTCCGATAAATCTCCACTAGTGAGATCTAACACTAGTGGAGATTTGCCCGAGCTTATCGGGGATGGGTATGACGACGACTTGACCAATGGAAGGAAAACAACGTTTATTTGTCAGCTTGTTACATAATGCCAGTCTCTGCAACACTCCAGTTCCTCGTACAAACGACGAAAAATCTTGTGATTGATATGACGAGCATCGATCTTTGCAATTGTGATACGATCAACCAAGTCTTGTGAGCCTGACGACTCAATCCCGTTAGTCTTACGACAAGCATGGACAGCACAAAACCAATTCTCATCCGGATTTTCACGGGTAGCAAAGCAATGAACATTTGTCAAAACGGTAGGGAAACATTCCATTAGAGTACACGCCCTTTCTAACAATAAACAGTAAATGGGGTAATACAAACAAATTTGGTATTCGTTGGATACAGATGCACAAAGATAAGTGGTGAAAATAGGGCTTAATCACGTAAACAATCTGACATCGTTCATCTCCGAAATCATTATCTTAATATTATTCAAACAGAAACAGTAAACGTCATGGTGATGAGCATCAGCAAGCAGCAGTCCCGCCGAACGTTTTGACACATGCGACATCAGCAGTGACAGACAGAGAGACAGATATTTATATTGTTGTCTCACATGTTTATACAACCAATCGCTCAGCGATTTATGGGAGACAGTTCTGCATAAAAACTAAAGACATACATAATATAAAAAATATAAAATATATATACATGTACACGTTATTTGTATAAAATATCACGTCGTGTATTAAGAATCTTATTGCAGGTCTTGGCACCAGTGTAGCACAACAGAAACGTTGGAGGTTTCAGTAAAGTGTTTAATTAGTACTACACTGCCCTCTTGTTAACAGTGACCACAAGGACGAGGCAGAGATTGACAGTGTGGGAGAGGCTACGGCCTGTTGCATATGTTGAGCAGGTGTGCCTGGAGCTCGTTCTAGTGTGATGCCCTGGCTGTTAGATCGACATTATTGGTCATCTCAGACTTATCTTCTGGATTGCTCTGATGGTCTTGCCCTGGACAGTGTTCGTCGCCTCTGTGCGCCTCTATTTTCCTATTAGCTCCTCTCTGCTGTTTCTCCAAATCATCTCCCTATTTATTAACTTCCACCTTAAACTTTTGACCGCATATGGATTCTTTACCATACGAATTGTTGCTTGTTATCGACTGATTTTACCGGTCATCCGGTCCGTAGGTAAGCGGTCAGTTTCTACAGCCGAGCAGCCGAGGCGAAGTTTGTACAACGAGGGAAGAAGTAAAGTCACACATAACGATATGTTAATTTGATCTGTCAACAGTGTGTTGTGTTAACTTCTTGACTCTTGTAAACCTCCAGTAGTGTGTGGAAATCAAGCCCGGCTGACCACCGAATAGTGTTACACAAGGAAATCCGACGACGAGGGCTGTGACATGGGCGAGTCTTGAGACGACCCCTCTAATGCTGTCATACTGCACTGTCCCCCCCCCATCCCCCATTGTGTCCCCTCGAATCCAACTTGTACACATAACAATATTAAACACAAGTTTATTGTACGAACTGTTCCGATAATTTGAGAAAAAAATAACAGACAGGTATTTTTAGGTACACAGAAGCGATAAAAGCCTTTCCAACTCCATACGAAATCTCTGCTACAAATTGAGTCGATTGAACAATTGTGACTATATCATGAGCATATATTTGTTTCAGCAGCATTACAGGTGTACGATATTGTTAGTAAACAAATCGAGTCTGGACCAGACAATCCAGTGATTGTCACCATGCGATAGGATGACAGAGCATGTGCAGCGAGACTTGTGACAAAGACAAAGAAAGACAGCCACATTTCTCCAGTGCTAAAGAAACTTCATTGGTTGAAGGTGGCAGACAGAATCACTTATAAAGTGCTCCTGTTAACCTTCAAAGCAAGGACAGGCCTAGCCCCTGTGTATCTCCAGGAACTCCTCCAGGAATACAAGCCAGCCAGGTCTCTTAGATCCATTGGACAAAGCATGCTGTGTGTTCCACATGCAAGGACCACCACCTATGGAGATCGATCCTTCGCCAGAGCAGCTCCACGACTCTGGAATGATCTGCCAATAAAACTGAGACTTATAAATAGCGTGGCAACTTTTAAAACCAATCTCAAGACTCACCTATTCTCAAAGACATACGCCTAGACCGAGTGGACCTTGCTGATACATGTGACATGCATCCTCTCAAAGCGCTTTTGAGCAGTTATACTGACTGGATTCTTGCGCTATATAAGTTCCTAGTTGATGATGATGATGATGATTTATGAATCACTATGAAATAGTGATGATACCAGGTGTTCGCGAAAAGGTGAGCGTATCCTGCCCCAGCGGCGGCACCCTTTATAAACCTACTCTAAGTCTAGTCAATGTACAGATACTGTAATGGCAGAGATGTCATTGTTTTAGGTCATTAGAGAATGTGGTCGACAGTGGCGCAGAATACAATTAGTGAAATGGGAAGCATTCAAGCAAGACCAAGTTAATTGTAATGGAACTTCAGTCTGGTATCCTTGCATTATCATAGAGCCATACATGCTAAAATGTAAAGTAACCCAACTTCAGAGTACTAATGAATTGGCCTGCTAGCACGTGGCTAGTAAAAATCAATTCGGGCCAGTAAATCTGCACAGTCACTGGCTAGTGAATTTTCATGGGGCCATTTTGTACATATATATTTCTTCTGGTGGTATTTTACCTTTATTGTAATCTTTTGCATAGTTTCTACACTTAGATTAGGGGCTAGTGAATTGTTTTGTGGGCTAGTAACTTACAGGCATTATGCTAGCTAGCCCGACTGGGTAACAAAAAACTGGAAACTATTTCGCACGCTGCAATCAGGCCGTACCATATGCTTTTCCAAAAGGGTATATGCATCCAGTACTAAATTACTTAAAGAAGTACCATATACAGTAATTATAGCTCATCTCCCGGTACATGGGACACTATTGGTTTTGATAGACCTGGATTGGTTCATATGTCCCGTCGTTGACTGTGTCTTGTGTCGGTTCATAAACCTTGTGACGTTGCCCATCACCTTCAAGAAATAGAGCAGGTCAGACGTTTTTCTTTAACTATATTTAATGATGATATTATTTCTGGAGAAGAGTAAACAAGTTTAAATGAAACCGCTTGCATAAATAATTACATCATTTATCTGTATAAATGTTGTTGAGTGCATTGTAGTCTAAAACACAATTGACGCACGCACACACGCACGCACGCATAAACACATGGATGCTGGAACAGCTGATACCTCTTATAAATTATAAACTAATATCAAGTAACCATTATTTCCGTTAAATGGTCAATGCAAGTCACACATAGCATGTATTATTTGACTATGTTTGTCTGAATCTTTCTTGTAGCTGTTGTGTATAATATGTTCTAACGAAGTCCCTAAATCGTACACTTACATGAATCTTACTCATAGACAGAACCATCAGAAACTTACCAAATTCGGACGTGGTCATAGACGCTGCGTTCCTGTAACAAACACAATGTGAGGTGAGATGAAATAACGTTAACGATTAGAATTATTGGTCTGCTATATTAATATTCCGTCATATGTGTGTTTGAATGACGTGTGTGTGTATGTGTACGCCTGCGTGTGCGTGTCTCTGTGTGTGTGAATGTGAATTTTTTTTTGTGCTAGCCCTGTTAGATGCTGTGCTGCAGTTAACCCTCGTGGACACATTATGTTCGGAGCCAGCCAGCTCTTGTATTCCCTTAATGCAGAGGCAGGTATACAAGTACCACCTTTTGACGTCATTCTGTGAGACGAGGACAGGCATCGAACCACCAACCCTCAGCTCCCCGGACAGATGCTGTATCCACTAGACTGCTCTATCCACTAGACTGCTCTATCCAGGCGACTAGACTCTCTATCCACTAGACTGCTCTATTAACTAGGTGGCGTCCTTAATAACTATACTCTCCCAAAAAAGAAGCACATGGTTATATTGATAATGAAATTTCAAATATTTTTCTCATTTAGAGTTTGGTTGATATAATTCCGCCAATATTATGCCGGTGTGTGTACATGGAAACTTTGAAGAACATTAACGTTCCAAAGTGTCAACTTGCATGAAAAATGTCATGGAGAAAAAGTGGTTGGCAATATGCAGTTCTGAGGAATCGTAAGCAGGAACATTGCCTCTATAATGCCGTTTTGGTTTTAGACGCCGTTTAAGCTAAATGAAAGAATATCGCGACTCACTACTGGAAATCGCAACGTTGCCACTGGACGTCTGGAGGCTGGGGGTCTCAATCTTCCGTTGTACGTCAATTCAATGTTCACCAGAGTACCATCAGTCGTTTATGGAACCGATATCAACAAACCAATTCAACGCAAGTTCGGACTCGAAGTGGGAGACCTCGTATTACCTGTGCAGCCCAGGATAGGTACATCCGGGAACTTCATTGAGGCAACCGAACTGTCACAGCAACTGCAACTGCAAGTGCAGTGCCTGGTTTGAGGAGAGTGTCGGCTCAAACCATTTCGTAATCGTTTACGAGAAGCTGGACTTACTATGGCCCTCTTCTGCGACGACTACATCGACGTCGACGGGTCCAGTAGAGCAATAATGTCCCGATTCTAGAATCTACAAAAGTGGCCTTGTGTATGGTTAAGTGACGACGCCGAAATTAACGTTTTGCCCAGAATCGTGTCCCCCAGGCTGTCCGATATGGTGGTGGAGTTTCATGATGTGGGGAGCCATATCCTACACGCAGAACTTTGTGCCCCTTCAGGACAATTTAACTGCCATTCGGCACAGAATTGAAATCTTAAGGATTCACATGGTTCCGATCATTGACCGCCAGAGGGAGATGTTCCAGCAGGATAATGCCAGGCCTGACACAGAACTAGCCATTATTCAGTATCTTCAGAACATTCAAGTGCTTTCATGACCTTCAAAACTGACCGAACTCAACACCATCGAACATTTGTGTTAAGACCTCGGCTGACGCGTACGCGCCCCAGATGTAAGATCAACTGTTGCAGGCATTGCAAGATGAATGGGCCAGAATTCCACAAGGTCGAATTCAAAGACTTATTCAGTCCATGTTGAGACGGTGCAGATGAGTTTTGGGGGTACATGGTGGACACACCACATACAATGCCCACGTGGGAACAGACTTTTCATAGGCTATAAATGTTGACAAACATTTCATCTTTTATGCTGTGAAATTAGGCTGTAACTGATCCTGTATTCCATGAGTCAATGCGTGAAAATATACCTATGCGGGGTTTTTTCTGGGAGAGTATATATAAGTTATGGAGGGTTGTCATTGCAGATTATACAGAATGTTGTCATGTTAACATTAATATTAATTGACTGTAAATAGAAAGTACTTACACTTGAGGTACCGCTACCTTCCTCGTTACATCTACGAATGTAAAGAAGAGGATTACCACGCGATTTATGTGTGCTTACATTTATTTATTTTTATAATTGGATATTTATATAGCGCACATATCCACGCACTAGTGCATGCTCAAGGCGCTGGTAGTATTTCCCTCGATCATTGGATGTCAATCTCAACGGCACATCTTATTATCAACCTCAACTCCCTGGGGATCATACAACTCTTGCAGCCACTAGGCGCACAGAGTTATTGCGGCTTTCCCATCCGTACGAGGTACACATTCACAGCTGGGTGGACTGGGACACATAGTCACAGTATTTTGTCCAAGATTACTGCACGTTGCTGTACCCGCAACTGGGTGTTTGCACGTATTTATGTGGCCACCATCTGGTCATATACCAACGGATTCGTGGGTTCTTTTAAGTGCACAGGGTTGTGTACTGTACACTAGCGGTTGTGACAACACTGAAACAATCTGCACACAAAGTTGACTCCAAGGTTTTACACCCGGTCACAGGTGGGCTCGATCCCGGCACCTAATGCTCGCTGGATCACTAGCCTGGCGCTTTAGCCAGCTCGCCCACCATGCCCCCATAAGCTTACATGTATCCGAAACATAACATAGATTATGGTGAAGCTGTTTCTTGTCGGAATATTCGTGTACGGATAGTTTGAAGAACGTTCAGTACAATAATTCCCGTACTATTTGTCAGAACAGTTACATACAAAAATACTTTCTCGTCTCATACTTTTTCTTTTGAATTATTTTGGAAATAGTCTTGGAATCATCTTTATTTTGCATCAAGTGCAAGACGTTAGTACCAGAGAATGCTAAATTCTGTCGAATCAGATTTCACAGTCCGAAAAGGGCATCGTATACGTGAAATTCATAGCAATACTCCTTCTGGGTGCGATTTGTACACAACTGAGTCTTGCCCAGACAATCCAGTGATCACTGTCGCGACTACTTCTCCACGTTGTTGTGGTACAATGTCAGAAAAGTCATCAAATATACCCGATGTTCCATAGTTTTATTGTAGTTCTATGTCGCCAATCATAGAAGATTCCAACCTACCCTTTTGTGCGTTGCGTCTTTTCCAGTGAATGATGTACGCAGCTGTTGCTCCCATGGCTACCAATGATACCAGACATAGCGTTATCCCAACTTCTAGTCCAGCTCCGAAACATTGTCCTGAAGCTAGAACCATTGTCAGTCATTGTCATGAAGCTCGAACCATTGTCAAACATTACCCTGAAGCTAGAACCATTGCAAAATATTCCATTGAAGCTTGAACCATTGTCTTACATTCCTCTGAAGCTACAACCATTGTCAAATATTGCCCTGAAGCTTGAACCATTGTCTTACATTCCTCTGAAGCTAGAACCATTGTCAAACATCCACTGAAGCTAGCATCAAAGTTCAACGATGACAAACACACCATGTACATTGCAATGCCAGTTACTTTGAATGATTGATAAATAAAGATTTTTTAATTACAACAATACATAAAACTAAATATTTTGTAATTTTTTATCATATTTACTGCTCAAATATAAAAGCTAGCAATATCATTTCGTAAAGCATATTGAGCTTCTTTCTTGTCACAAAAAGTAAGAATGTATTCATAATAAAGAATAATTACAAAAATATTCACGGAAAGGAGAACTTTCATTCAATCCGAACACATTTTAAGATGTTCGATAATGGTTTCTAATAGTGTTAATACGTTAATAAAGTGTTGAATCACCTGAAAGGACAGACTCCTGATTTGTGGTGCAATGTACAAAGAGGACTTGGGTTCCAGATATCAGCATCTTATTTCTATAGACTGCAGCACACTGGATGCCGACGAGATGATGGCCACAGGTAACAGTGAATGTGATCTTACTGACGTCTGCAACCATGTCATCGTCATCACGGACCAACGACGTCACGTTCCCCTTCAGCGTCTGATTTCCTGGACGCCATGTGATGCTGGACGATGGTTTGGTCGGATTGGTCTTACACACGAGCGTGAGGGTTTCATTATCGGTCAGGGCCAGAGGATTGCTCGTCGAGTTCTCGATATGAATTTCCAATAAGGGCACTGTTGGTCAACATAGGAAATGGTATGAATGGACAAATAAAACTATTAATCACCCGTCTGTTTACACGTCATATGTAAGCTTTTTTATCATGGAGCATGTGACATTCTTCCTCCACGAACCCGTGAAAATCCTGGTTAGAATTGATCTTCAGTAACCCATGCTTGTCGTAAGAGGCAACTAACGGAATCGGGTGGTCAGGCTCGCTGACTTGGTTGACACATGCCATCGTATCCCAGATCCATTGTATCCCTTAGATCGATGCTCATGCTGTTGATCACTGGATTGTCTGGACCAGACTCGATTATTTACATACCGCCGTTATATAGCTGGAATATTGCCGAGTGCGGCGTAAAACTAAACTCACACACTCACTCCACGAAATGTGGATTCTGACAGTGAAACTCCACAGAAAATAGCATACTTAGTGTAAATGTCATGAAACAAGTAACATCTAAAAATATTCTTGGTTAGTGAGTGAGTGAGTAATGGTTTTACGGCAATATCACGGCTGTGGACACCAGAAATGGGTTTCACACACTGTATCCGTGTGGGGAATCGAACCCGTGTCTTCAGCGTGACGAGCGGACGCTTTAACCTTGAGGCTACCCCACCGCCTCATTTTCGTTGTTGGAATAGGAAGGGTAAATAGTATTAATGCTAAAAATATATATCAAAATGATGTATTATTAAAAGGAATAAAATATCTGTTTTCATATATCGTTAAAATATATACATGTAAAGAATATCCTGAAAATCAGCTTAATTCAAGTGATTGTAATAACACTAATACTATTAATCAAATATCACTGTGCTTTTTTGGCATGTAGTGATAGTAAGTAGGATGGAGGAAAATTATGATCATACATTCTGGTAATAATGAACCCAGGACCACCACAGATTCAATGAAGTACGGTAATCACTTCTTCGAGAATCCATTGAACCAGGAAGCATACATAGTTACATATCATGATTAAATATACTTCCTCCTTCTGGTCACAATGTGTTATGTTTGGATGTTGCGGCCCAGGGCCCTCCAACTTGAAGGGAGAATAGATGTTTTATGTTTCGGCGTGTTGGTCGACACGGCAGTCATCCTCATCACCGCGACCAGTATTAAGTTAACAGAAAGCCTGAAGAGATGCGATCCGTGAAGATCCGGGTTAGAATGAATCTTTAGTAACCCGTGCTTGTCATAAGAGGCGACTAACGGGGTCAGGTGGTCATGCTCACTGACTTTGTTGACACATGTATCCAGATTGCGATGGTCGATGTTCATGCTGTTGATCACTGAATCGTCTGCACCAGACTCGATTAATTACAGACCGCAGCCATGCAGCTGGAATATTGCTGAGTGCCGCGTAAAACAACAACAACAACAACAACAACAACCTGAAGTGCTGCTGGTCATAAGCGGTTACCCATTTCGTGTACACACGAGGAAGGGTAGAGAGCTGACAAACCGCTGAACTGCAGAAGGATCAAAGGGGCGCAACTCCACACGACATATTGAGGCGGCTGATAAGAGCCCCTACTATTGAAACACATAACGTCTGTGGCGATCTGTCAATGACTGCAAGATTAATCCATACTCACCCTCTACATCCAGTGAGATGGTGTTGCTTCTCCAACCGTTGTCTTGACATGTCCAGTTGGAACCTTGATATGAGTAATAATCCTCATTTTTAATTGTCAGAACGTGTTCACACGTAAAATTATCATAATTGTATTTTTGCCTTTCGTATTTTGAAGACAGCAAGCATGTATCATTTACATAAAATGTTCCGTTGGTTGTTTCCACTTTCCATGTTATTTTCTTTTTTTGAACGAGGTCTCCAGAATTCTAAAACTGTACAGGAGAACGTGAAGTTGTGTCCCACTACTGCAGACCGGGCAGACCCTCTCAGGTTCAGACCTTGACATTGTAGAAAGAATTAGAGATTAAGACACATGACATGGAACAGCATTCTTTGTCAGCTGCAGATGAATAACATATCGCTCCTTTATGTGGATATTGATGGATACATTCCTCGAACAAGGTAATGGCCTTACATTGTTGCTATAACTTTAGTCTATTTTAATTTTAATATTTGCATTTCGTTTTTATTCATTTCATTTTGTTGTAGCATTCAACAGAAATGTTTTCGCCGTGAAGTGTAATGAGACAGACAACATACACTAGGTCGCACTTTGGGCGTGTGTGTGAAATATGATTCACGCAGGTAATCTATAAAATGTCTAGATATTACAGTCATGTTATAAATTCGCTATAAGTATAAGCGGACCATGTGCTTTTTTATTAATTTTCAAAGTGCATACAAATATGATAATAAATAATTAGGATTATAAGACAAAATATAAAGACGAACATTGACTTCGTTATTTTTCAGTCCTAACATTTTTACCACTGGCAGATGGTTAAACTTCAAAATGTTTTCTTTTATAACCATAATAATGAAGACGGAAATATTATCGAGTAACAAAATTTCATCCTTGTTAATCAATCTATACTTATACAATCAATTGTGCATGCGGGTGGCGCAGCAGAGGTAACGAACCAGTCAAGAATTCTGGGATATTATCCGGGTACTCACAGGAGAAAAACAATAACAGAGCAACAACCAGTACGCGGAAATTGCTCTGGATCAGTGCCCCTTTAAGGTCCTGCTCAACTTTCAACCACGTGAGATGAAATGAAGTTTATGGTCATATTTAAGATATTGAACTAATTCAGAGACAAACAGTCCTTGTTTTCAAGAGGCAGGGTAACAAGTTAATAACAAATATATATATTAACGTCAATTGGTATGACGCAACGGGTGTCGAACCATGGAGCTTTTGCTCTGCGAGCAGATACTATATCCTGTACACATTGAATAACAGAAATAATGATTAATATTAATGAAGACTTGGCACATAATCTGAACTAACGCCACTTCTTTCCTGATGAAGTCAAAACATTGATTACACAACAGTATCGTTTCCTGCTGACTGGGTTCCGTCCTATTGCGCAACTTAGTACAATAACCAGTCCAAAAGTTTGAGACCAATTCATTCAACTGGATATATAATTATCAATCAGTATAATTTATTACATCTTATCACTTGTATATTGCAACACAACGCTCCTTCTAATCGAGCAGCGTGCACTGTCGCATTCGTAACTACTCGTGTCATTCCGGCAATCTTCTTGTAGGTCACGGAAAGAGGCGAGTAGTTACGAATGGCTCTGTAGCATGCTCTGACAAACGGAAATCTGGAAATCGTGTAAATCTCAAAACGAAGGCTCGGCCGCTTGGAAAGTTTGGCGGTCTGGTACGGACTTGATATAATATCAATCACATTGTACGTTTCAAAAATACACTGAATAAGCGCAAACAACACATAGCAGGGGTAACCGGTGAGCCATCGGCTGAAAAATAGGTCATTGTCTGAATTTGTTTAATAAGACTTATGTTTCGGTTTGAAGCGTATATGTTTACCACCTTTACAATCCATCTCACAATACTGACTCTTTGAACACTCCACCATGGGATTAATGACAATTTCAAATGAGTGTGGAAAGTGTATGTTACTTTCATAAACATGACATTATAGACGCCTGCGATGTTTTTCAAACATATGAAGCTTACGTTTTGAATAAAGATTGTTGCCATCGTTAACGTAACCTTCGCCTCTAGCCGGCAGAACCAGTTGAGTAATCAGCAGTGCCGTAATTGTCAAAGCTTGGAGAGCCATCTGGCGATCTATCCTGAAACCAGCATCATCAAAATGCAGTTACTGATGAAATATATCAAATATGAGTGAGTGAATGAGATAGGGCGGAGTGAGTGAGAGTAGTAGGTAAGTGCGTTAGAGCGTGAGTGAGTGAGTGAGTGAGTTTAGTTTTACGCCACACTCAGCAATATTCCAGCTATATGGCGGCAGTCTGTAAATAATCGAGTCTGGACCAGACAATCCAGTGATCAACAGCATGAGCATCGTACTGCGCAATTGGGAACCGATGACATGTGTCAACCAAGTCAGCGAGCCTGACCATCCGATCCCGTTAGTCGTCTGGTAGGTAGGTGAGTGAGTGTGGTAGGTGAGTGAATGAATCAGTGAGTGAGAGGTAGGTGTGTAAGTGAGTGAGGTTAAACACAGCTCAGTTCAGTGTTAGCACGGTAAGTGTGATGAAGGCAAGCGGGGATGTAGAACGGCGACGCTTACATCCTGGATTGTCAGAAGTTGAAAATAATTATACTCGAATGTTGTTTATCGATGTGCGCGCCATTAAACAGTAAATGAACAAAGCAATCTGACCATAGCAAGACTATAGTTTGTTCTATACGTCTATGGGTACATAACGACATGATATTCAGGCAGGTTTTCTACCTTGTCCTTAATGCGGGTTCCCATACAGAATACATTTTCTAAACACTACATATAAATAACGAGTAAACCTTCACAAGTCATTGCGGAGCCGTGAAGATTCGGGTTAGAATTAATCTTCAGTAACCCCATGCTTGTCGCAAGAGGCCACTAACGGATCGGGTCGTGGGTGGTGGTGGGTGTGGTGTCGCTGACTTGGTTGGCACATGTCACCGAATCCCAATTGCGTAGATCGATGCTCGTGTTGTTGATCACTTGATTGTCTGGTTGTCTTGGTCCAGACTCGATTATTTACAGACCGCCGCCATATAGCTGGAATATTGCTGTGTGCGGCGTAAAACTAAATTCACTCAAGTCATTACGACTATTGTCAGAAAGGGCATGTTTCCCAGATTGGCCAAAAACATATACAGATACTCACTGTGAAACGAAAATTCACCGTTTTGACTGGATGTGTTCCCATGAGACGCGAGTAGATAGACAGACGCTCAAAGCCTATTTTGATAAAAGATAGAATATTAGGCGGATGTATAGAATGCATGACTAGTCTGGAGGAGGAAAACACGGTGGTCAGGTTCAAATATAGCATGCATCGTGAGCGTCCTGTTGAAAGATAGGACTTGTAAGAGATGCGGAAAAATTTAAAATAGGATGGTACAAGATATTACCTCATGCAACCGCTAGTAGGCAACTGGCGCGTATGATTGAATTAACTATGAAATCAGTGGCTAATCACGATCATGTAAGTAGGACATTTTGAGAAGCGGGTCTCTTTATACACATAAACATAGTCCTCCCGTTTATGTATCTCAACCATTTGCTGATCACATTTTAATAAATATCTTTAATACAATCTCTATTTGTTATACACTATATTTCCCAGACATATCTAGGAAATTCAGTCGTGTAGAATTTTATGATAATGCATAAATACTTCCTCTTTATAACTTGATGCTTGCGAGTGAGTTAGTGAGTTAGTTTTACGCCGCACTAAGCAATATTCCAGCTATATGGCGGCGGTCTGTAAATGGACTAGACAATCCAGTGATCAACAACACGAGCATCGATCTACGCAATTGGGATACGATGACATGTGTCAACCAAGTCAGCGAGCCTGACCACCCGATCCCGTTAGTCGCCTCTTGCGACAAGCATGGGTTACTGAAGATCAATTCTAACCCGGATCTTCACGGGCCGCATCTCGTCAGGCTTTCTGTTGACTTAATACTGGTCGCGGTGATGAAGGGTGAAATATTTCTGACTGCAGCGTCGACGAACATGCCGAAACATAAAACATCAATTCTTACTTCAAGTTGGAAAGCCCTAGGCCGCAATATTCAGACATAACGCTTTGTGACCAGAAGGAGGAAGTAATATAATATTTAATCATGATATGTAACTATGTATGCTTCCTGGTTCAATGGATTCTCGAAGAAGTCCGACTGATGTTAGGCCATAATGTATATTTACCTTAATACTATTGTGTTTCAAAGCAGTAAATCGTTGTATTGTAAATGGAGTAGTTCAGTTGTAGTGATTTGAAGCAACAGGATGTAAATAGCATCATGTTTCGTTAGGATAGGAGCTATGGGGTATCCTAGTGGTTAAAACGTTTGCTGATCACGCTGGAGCCCGGGTTCGATTCCTCGCATGGGTGAAGCCCAGTTCTGGTGTCTCCGCCGTGATATTGCTGGAATATTGCTAAAAGCGGCGTAAAACCAAACTCACTCACTCGTCAGGATATGTCGCGCTTCACAAACCGTTAGGCACAAACAATGTCGTTGCTTCGTGAAGCGGTGGTGACACATCAATTGCTTACTGCACTGGAATATTGAGTGACAGTTTGGTTAAGGCCGCTTTAAACATCATTTTAGTTAAAAATCAGTTTGAAGTGAAAGATAAATCAGATATTATCAGGAAGAATACAGGATTCGAACCCATGAAGATGTAGGATCCTGTCACGCCCAAGAGAAGCAACTCCGAGGATCTGCTTCAACAACAAAAACAAGAAGAAAAACACACTGAAAACGCCGGTTGACGATAAAAGCGGCGTAAAACTAAACACATATACACGTATTATAATTTCATTCATTTCTTTTTATCTTTCCGATGGACACACACAGATTGACATCCATGATGCATGTTTTGTAAATATTGTTACACACTAAGAAATATAATCAGACTTTCAAGTTGGGGCATCGGGTAGTCAAGTCCTTAACGCGTTCGCTCGTCACGCCGAAATTCCGAGTTCGATTCTTCTCGTGGTAACAATACAACCTAGAGGTCCCCTCTCCGTCATATTGCTGGAATATTGCTTAATTGTTGACTATTCCCTTAATGCCTGTAATACCTCTAACCTATGCTTAAAGTCACTGTTGTACCCTCGTTCTACATACTGCACACAGGAACGTCATAATCACAATGTCTTTGTCATGCCAATAGAGATATTATTGTTTCGATATCGTCCATATCGCATCTAGTTAGCAATACGTCTTGAAACCCGTGAAGATCCGGGGTAGAATAGGTCTTCAGCAACCCATTCTTGTCATAAAAGGCGACTATGCTTGTCGTAAAAGGCGACTAACGGGATCGGGTGGTCAGGCTCGCTGACTTGGTTGACACATGTCATCGGTTCCCAATTGCGCAGATCGATGCTCATGCTGTTGATCACTGTATTGTCTGGTCCAGACTCGATTATTTACAGACCGCCGCCATACAGCTGGAATATTGCTGAGTGCGGCGTAAAACTAAACTCACTCACTCACTCAATACGCCTTGAATTATGCGTGCCTCTGACAAAATGTTTAATAGAAAAATGTATACATTCAGAATACAGGTGAGCATTAAACATATTTTATTCCTATTACATGCAATTTATGACAATTAAGCAGAAGTGTGAAAAGAATTATTTTTAAATAGTATTGTTGTATTGCCAGCATAACTTCTAGCCGTTACTGTCAACACACTAACATCCGATTTCACCAGGGTGCCCTTGTACAAAACTACCTTAGTGCTAAGATTACCTTAAGTCTATGCCTAGGTCACCCTAGGGCTAAGGTCGCTTTGTACAACGGCACCCAGGAACGCACGTGTCTGGCTCCAGGCGTGTTTTTCCTGGAATACCGACCCGTAAAGTTCCCGGATGGAATTGGTCTTCAGCAACCCATGCTTGTCGTAAGAGGCGACTAACGGGATTGGGTGGTCAGGCTCGCTGGCTTGGTTGACACATGTAGATGCTCATGCTGTTGATCACTGGATTGTCTGATCCAGACTCGATTATTTACATACCAGCGCCATATATCTGGAATATTGCTGAAAACTCACTTACTCACTCATATTTATTATATGACAGCCGGCATGTTGGTGGAGTATTGCTGAGAGCGGCGTTAAACTACAAACAAACAAACAATGGAGTAAATTTGGAAAGTACGTGTGAATACACTCCTTGAGTGAACAACAAAAGTAGTTCCGTGTGATCTGAAGTCACGTGGCTCCGTACTATCGCCACCTGACATGGGTGGAAAGCTTCAGTTGTCCGGTACTTTAGATGACTCACATAGACATAGAACACTGGCTCTGCTTGGAAGTGGGATTTCCTTGTCAACAAAGTAGGATGGGTGTTGATGTTTGAGGTGCCAAGGCTTCACTCAATACTGAATACACCAGTCAAATTGAACTTGAACTGACAATGACATTTAGACGCCAGCTTGAGTAACCGTTGATATAGTGTAGACAGTACGAGACCAAATAACAGTAGTCTGTACCTAGTGACCTCTGGCGTGACAGCGTGACGTGCTTCCTCGTGACCATACACAGACGAGATGTATCCGCCTGGCGGATGTCCATACTTATTATACAACCTGCTAGTTGTTACCAGAATCATTTTTACATGGTGTCATCCTCATCTCCTCTTAACGTGCCTTCGAAATCACTTGTAATTGGTAGTTAAGTTAAAGTGTGTTGTAAATATGATAACACTGAACCCATGAAGATCCGGGTTGGAATTGATCTTCAGTAACCCATGCTTGTCGTAAAAGGCGACTAACGGGATCGGGTGGTCAGGCTCACTGACTTGGTTGACACATGTCATCGTATCCCGATTGCGTAGATCGATGTTCATGCTGTTGATCCTTGGATTGTTCATACCAGTCTCGATTATTTACAGACCGCCGCCATATAGCTGGAATATTGCTGAGAGCGGCGTATGACTACACTCACTCACTCATGATAACACTGACAGCAATGACACTTAAACTCCTAAAATCTGTTCGTAGCACTATGTCATTCGTAAGCCTATGGTGAAATATAGAGTTTCGATAGGTCGTAACGTTACGAATGGACTGGGACCAGGGACTGACAATAGAGGAACACGGATGACATTAAAGGGCACATGTTTCTGGAGGATGTTCTTGTGTTCTTCATGACAGTGTTGAATGACCAATACCATCAAGTCATTTAAATACCGTGGTCTTTTATTCCAAGCACAAATGTACAGATTCAGTGATCAATAAGATGATATTATAAATATCACTTATTGTATATATGTTTGCTCAAGCCTAAGATAGTAAATATGACACATACGTACCAGCGTACGCTGCTCGGTGTATGGCGTATAAAGTAATAGGGCGTCATACGTCAAGTATCACACCAAACTTATAATACATTCAGTCTTGCATGGTTAAGTTCATTGTGCATAATATGTACACAGCACAGATGCAGATGTGTCAAAGATTGGATTTGTGTTTCAAAGAAGGTTTGGATTTAAAAAATATAATGATACAAGGAGTCTGCAAGATACCAGCTGTTCGCCAAAAAGTGAGCGGATCCTGTCCTAACGATGACGTCACAAACACTTGCAAAGGTCATTGTTCAGCATAAAAGGCAAGAGACCTTTTCTCATCACTATGCGTCTGATTGGAACATCTGCCACACACTAAAACTTTCAAAAATACTTCAGATATCCTTGTATACTCTAACGTTGATCAAACAACGATTAAGTGAGAGTCATACCCCGCTCTTTGAAATCCTGGTTATAAGAGCATGCTCCAGTAACAGTTCTGATATAAATGCTGACATAAAGACTGTTCCTCGGTGACTGCTTCATATGACACTTCACTCACATAACGCGAATCTGAATTCCTGGTGTGACCATACGCTGAAATTCCATCTTCTTCTTTATACAAACACACACTTAGTTGAAGTTAATGTCAATTGCTTGTAACCGGACAACACGGAGAAGCAACTCTCATGACGTTCACCCAACAATGTGACAATGTTATTATGTGACAGTTCCACTGGTAGGCACGAAAGCATAACCTGACCATACGTCACATGATGTTAACTAAGGAGGCTGGTGAACCTATCGTTACAGTGGAAGTCGATCGTACACGTGAGAGATGAACACTCCGCTGACGCTGGGATCCATGCTGTCGTATCCACGGTTGCTATGCGCCGGCGGCAGCGACTGTTCATCTACAAAACATAAAATACTGACAGAACAAATGCAGCGTCACCTTTGGATTAATAATTTTTTAACGGTCGGTTGGTTTGTTGTTTGCACTCAGCATTATTCCAGCTATATAGCGGGGACCTGTAAATAATCTAGTCTGGGCCAGACAATCCAGTGATCAACAGCATGAGCATCGATCTACGCAATAGGGATACGATGACATGTGTCAACCCAGTCAGTGAGCCTGACCACCCGATCCCGTTAGTCGCCTTTTACGAATTTCTGAAGGGTGCACAGGTGGCTCAGTAATTAATTATATTTTAAGTCAGAAGCTTGATGTCCAAATATGATATTTTTATACCGTTTTTCCCATCGAATCCTCTTCTCCAGTAGACCAAAGCAGTAGCAGCAAAGCCAACAGCAACAACACAACAACAGCGCCTACTCCAGCTCCGATTCCTATTCCAAGTCCTTCGTCAAACCTATCACCTGTAACACAGTAGACAATGAAAAGGAATATAGATACTAGTAATTATTCACTAGTTACTGGTAAGGCCATCCTTACAAAGGACACAAATAAAGCTATTGTTTTGAATGGGTAAACTGAGGATTCTGACACAAATTATGTTGATGGGTTGTTCTGATGCACAGATGTTATGTATTCCGAAATCTTGAATAAATCGATTTTCTTATGTAAAGCCAGTGACAGCGCTTTTTTGTAAAATTATTTCCGTTTATTTCTTGGAACGCTTACGGATCAACCATACAACTGTCAACATGGATGCATCTGATGACACACAGAGTCAACCGCTACAGCAACCAACCATACAACTGTCAACATGGATGCATCTGATGACACACAGAGTCAACCGCTACAGCAACCAACCATACAACTGTCAACATGGGTGCATCTGAATGACACACAGAGTCAACCGCTACAGCAACCAACCATACAACTGTCAACATGGGTGCATCTGAATGACACACAGAGTCAACCGCTACAGCAATCAACCATACAACTGTCAACATGGGTGCATCTGTCAACATGGGTGCATCTGATGACACACAGAGTCAACCGCTACAGCAACCAACCATACAACTGTCAACATGGATGCATCTGATGACACACAGAGTCAACCGCTACAGCAACCAACCATACAACTGTCAACATGGATGCATCTGATGACACACAGAGTCAACCGCTACAGCAACCAACCATACAACGGTCAACATGGCAATAACCATACAACTGTGCATCTGATGACATCTGATGACACACAGAGTCAACCGCTACAGCAACCAACCATACAACGGTCAACATGGATGCATCTGATGACACACAGAGTCAACCGCTACAGCAACCAACCATACAACTGTCAACATGGATGCATCTGATGACACACAGAGTCAACCGCTACAGCAACCAACCATACAACTGTCAACATGGGTGCATCTGATGACACACAGAGTCAACCGCTACAGCAACCAACCATACAACTGTCAACATGGATGCATCTGATGACACACAGAGTCAACCGCTACAGCAACCAACCATACAACTGTCAACATGGGTGCATCTGATGACACACAGAGTCACGCTACAGAGTCAACCGCTGTCAACATGGGTGCATCTGATGAACCAAACCATACCATACAACTGTCAACATGGATGCATCTGATGACACACAGAGTCAACCGCTACAGCAACCAACCATACAACTGTCAACATGGGTGCATCTGATGACACACAGAGTCAACCGCTACAGCAACCAACCATACAACTGTCAACATGGGTGCATCTGATGACACACAGAGTCAACCGCTACAGCAACCAACCATACAACTGTCAACATGGATGCATCTGATGACACACAGAGTCAACCGCTACAGCAACCAACCATACAACTGTCAACATGGATGCATCTGATGACACACAGAGTCAACCGCTACAGCAACCAACCATACAACTGTCAACATGGATGCATCTGATGACACACAGAGTCAACCGCTACAGCAACCAACCATACAACTGTCAACATGGGTGCATCTGATGACACACAGAGTCAACCGCTACAGCAACCAACCATACAACTGTCAACATGGGTGCATCTGAATGACACACAGAGTCAACCGCTACAGCAACCAACCTTACAACTGTCAACATGGGTGCATCTGAATGACACACAGAGTCAACCGTTACAGCACAGTAAAAACACTTATACTGGGTCAAACAGTATGGTATACATGCTTGGTTAATAGAGCGTGTATAGAACTGGTCAAGTATATTCATCATCGCACGTCAAACGATGTCAATCTTAGTCTTAGAGTATGGTATATTGGGTCAAACAGTATGGTATAAATGCTGGGTTCATAGAGCGTTTATAGAATTGGGTAAGTATATTCATCATCGCATGTCAAATGATGTCAATCTTGGTCTTATTGTATGGTATACTGGGTCAAACAGTATGGTATACACGCCGGGTTCATAGAGCGTTTATAGAACTGGGTAGGTATATTCATCATCGCATGTCAAACGATGTCAATCTTGGTCTTAGTGTATGGTATACTGGGTCAAACAGTATGGTATACACGCTGGGTTCATAGAGCGTTTATAGAAATGTACATTATATTATTCGATTATATAATATCATAGCATGTCAAACAGTGTGTCAGTCTTGGTCGTATAGTTGACTTGTCCTAACGCTATTACTTAATGGATTAGACAAGCTCAGAATGTTAGAGGTGTTTTATAAATTCTGTGAGCATTTTAACACATAACAGCATAAGGAATTTTCGTCTTTACAGCTTGTACGTGTTTTATACATACCCTTTTTTGCACAATGGACAAACATTCTCATTCCTGTTGATGTTATTTGAACGTCTTTGTAAACAGCTTTGCATGAGATGACTGACAGATGGTCTTTGCAGGAGACAGTCAGTGTAAGGACACTCGTGGGCACCGTCTTCCCACGAACATCCATGGCTTGAGACGCTACTTTTTCTGAAACATTGTGACTGTCTTTCTTCCAGGAGATTTTAGGCTTTCCTCGGATGGGATTGGCTCTACAGACCAGTGTCAGGACATCGAACTCTGTTGCGTGTAGCGTGTTCTTTGTTGCATTCAGAAAAGTCACGGAAGTAAGGGTATCTGAAAATGGTACAATACCAATGGTGAGTGAGTGAGTTTGGTTTAAAGCCAAATCGAACAGTATATTTGTTTGTTAGATACGACAGAAACCCGGGTAGTTAGAGGCCTTAGACCTTGCCAATGTTTGTGAAACCGATGTGCAACCAAGAAACCTAAACTTCTAAGCAGGATGAACACTGGATTCGAACCCGTGATCATAAGTTTCTGGCACGCCTACGCTACACACCTCTGCATAGCGAATCGCGGTCCCTTACACGAAAGGACAGCCTCTGTTGTACCAATTATTATTCAGCTTTAATATTACTTAACCTGCGCCTGATACAAATAGGCGACACATGCCTGGAACAATCTTTACTCACTGAATAACATTTTTTGTATCATTAAACACATGTCTTGTATTTGGAAAAATTAAACTGTTTTATATCTAAGAAATATGATGGAATAAATACGAGTGAGTGTGTGAGTGAGTTTGGTTTTCAGCAATATTCCAGATATATGGCGGTGGTCTGTAAATAATCGAGTATGGACCACATTCCAGTGATCAACAGCATGGGCATCGATCTATGCAAATGGGATACGACGACATGTGTCAACCAAGTCAGCCAGCCTGACCTCCCAATCCCGTTAGTCGCCTCTTACGACAATGGGTTACTGAAGACCAATTCTAACCAGGATTTTCACAGGTCGAAATTTATATGAAGTAAGTACAACAAAACATTACCATGTATTATCGGCTGATCGAAGTATCCATACATTTCAATGTTTCCAAGGCCAGTTACCAACACCGCAAATTGACACAAGGAGGATTTGCTTCTTAAAACCGTCAAATCAGACGGAGCCCGGAAGCTGGAGACGGAGGCAGTGTGGGAAGCTGTTGATGAGGTTGTCCATATTGTGTTGACGTCAATGTCTGAAGTACAGTTGGGACTAGTGATGAGGGTGATATAACGCGTGTAATTCACCTGACTGGTTTGAACGTCTGGTACAAGATACACGCTTCCATAATCAGCAATGGGTGGAACTATGGCGGAGAAAGCTTGGAACCGAACATGATTTCCTGACGTCATTTGAACCAGGATAGGCTGAGAACTCTTGACGTAAGTTACGTCAGAATTATTGAAATCTTCATCACTGAACTCTGCTTCATTAAGATTAAATGATGTAGTTGCAGTTGGAGTTTCGGTGGTGACGTGTGTGTTATTGTTCATTGCGAGTATTCTAATTCTATATTTATCCATTACGGGAACCGGCGATACAATGAAACTACTTCCCCAATGACTAACCCCAGGGATCTGATTCTGTACAGCATCTCCGTGATTCAGTGGATAATCCAAAGCAGGGGATCCAGAAAATACCGCTACTGGGCTACTACTCTCGACAACTGTCCCTCCCATGTCGCAGTTGTGGTATTCTGTCGAGGATAAGGATGATATCTGAAGGACATGCCGCTTTTCCAGGATGCTAGTCAGCCTTCTGCCTTGGCTGTAAGTGATTCCCTTGAAAGAATACGAGCAATTGGACTTAATGTCAACATGTATGGTTACATTGTCATCAGCCGCAACAATCCCCAGTATGGCGTTCTGTGGCACCGATGGTATGATGTATTTAGAAGAAAGAGACTGAAGAGGGAGGACAGTATAAGCATCAGCAGTGCCTTCCATTTGTCTTCGAAAGAAAACCCTCAAGATGATTTCTGTATTGCAGTGGACATATATTGCCCGTTTCTCGATGTAACCTCCGAAGTTTAGTACTCTTGCTAAGGGAATATCAAACTGTGTTACGCGATTGTTTCCTTGAAGCTTGACACCATGTTCTGTCCCGTCGCTGTCTGTCACTGTGCACATCCCTTCCTGGGTGTGTCCGATGAGTAGATATCCCGTGGTCTTCTGGTTGTTGAACGCAGGAAGCAGTGTAACTATAAACTCATTCCCACTGTAAATATTTACACTCCCACCTGGAAAGAAATATAGGATATAGTTACCTCGCCAACACATATCAGTAGCATATACTCATTAGTATATGCGTGAAGGATACTTAGCAACATTCCATCCATGTAATTAAGATAATGTTGTTAAAAGTCATTGTTTGATCGGCATTCTAGAAGTTTGTGAGTTAATGATGACGCATAAGGCTTAATGGATAACAACTTCTTGTTATCTCAGAGCGACGGTAGATTCGTATGATTCGTTACAGAGTCCTTTGTACGATTCCCACTACTTATGTCTAACAGTTAGAATATGTCTATCGAAGTACAGCTATGACGAATTACACTTTGGGTCCCAAGGAGGTCGTTATAACCCTAATTTACTGTTTAAGCAGGTATTAATTAATCCCTAAAAAAGTAAAGATATGAAGTGATCCCCGAAACATTATAATTTGCGAAAATGAGTGCAGCCACAAATTTGATAAGGATTTACATTGATATTCACAACAACTCTTACGGTCTACAACACAGGTTGTATTGTTGGTAGAAAAGAAAATGATAACTTACATGTAAGAACTATTAGGACACACTTTTAAAAAATAAGAAACAGATAGACAGGGAGAGTGAGTGTTAGAGAGCGCATGTGTCCGTGTATGCGTATGTTTGCTGCTTCTGGTAGCCTCGACCTGTGTCGGTTTTATGGTGTCAGCCCACACAGATACCCTGTCGTAGTTTAACACAGTCATACCTCTCAGGCAGTGACTTGGTTAGTCCAAGCCTACTGGTCCTTGTTTTATACAATTAATGCTGAGCGTCATACATTGTAACAACAAGAACGGTCATTTAACGAGTCTCGGTATGAACCCTTGTACTTCCGCTGTCCGGGCCGACGTTGAACCCACGAAACCGCTGAGGAGGTTTACATAGGTACACACATACGTGAGTCAGACAGTGTGTGTACTGTTGACACGAGAACTCAGATACGGCACCAATTGAAATATAGATGTATAACCTGTAATATGTGTACCAGTATATTGAAAACGAAAACTAAATGTTACCTTCAAGAAGGTTGCCCAGAACAGCAAGTGTTATCAGCATGAAGTTAATGCCCGCCATATCCTAAACGAAAGAAAACCAATAAAGTAAGGCAAGATTTTGTACACTTATAGTTATATCCTGTAATAGTGAGTGAGTGAGTGAGTGAGTGAGTTGGGTTTTACGCCGGTTTTAGCAATATTGCAGCAATATCACGGCGGGGGACACCACAAAAAATGGGCTTCACACATTGTGCCCATGTGTGGAATCGAACCCGGGCCTTCGGCGTGACGTGCGAACGCTTTAACCACTAGGCTACCCCACCGCCCCTTATCCTGTAATAAACATACAATTATGAGATAGTTGGGTTTAACACTACTGGAACAGTTATGTTATAACATGGCGTGCCAAGCTAATGAAACGTTTACCATTTTAGAGAAATCCACGAACACGGATATGGGTCTGACAAACCTAGAAACATAATCTAGGCGAACCAGGATTCTCATCCACGATCACAGCTTCCTGGCTTGGCCAAGGGACGGAACTCTACAGAGCGAATTGCGACGCCGCAGACGACTGGCCCACCAAAGAGCCCTGGCCCCGTTCAATAAAGCAATCTTAGAGTTACAACGACCGTAAGCCTATGTTAAGTATGGTATTTACTTGCTTTTATTAAAGATTGGCACTCACATCGCAAATATGGTGCTCTCATCTCCAGTAGATGACATTTCATAACAAAAGTCTTTGTCATGACTAACAATGTCTGGAAAAGAAGTACTAGTGACGGGCGGAGGAAACACGGTTCTATTTATTGCTTCTATTCTATGGCAGATGGTAACGAGTCATCAAAAGATGACATATTCCCCTGGCCCTCGCCTATTTGCAAAAGTCATATGAATCCTACCCCTTCAAAGAATCTCAGCACTCGCGGTACTGAACATTATTGAACACGCTTCTCGAACAGATTCTCTGAAATTAGTCGGCCTTTGCTAAATTCCAGGAAAAACTAATGGGTGCTACTAAAATGGAATGGACTTCCGATTTTGCACTTCGAAAATATGCACTGAACTAGTACAAGTGTGCTCTATTACGTGTAAAATTGTTTTGAATTGAAAGTTTATTAACGTTTTAATCAGTAAAAACACAGAATGCGTTTTATAGAAAACTCGATTTGCGCATTAACTATGAAGTAAAGCGGGACAATTATTTCGGATTACCCTCATGGTCACGTGGCTCCTAATTTTCAACAGCTATGTTCATTGGTCATTTGGTATTGCCAGAATACAAAGAGACTAAGTATCAATGGGTGAAATTTCATTTTGCATAATCCAATTATATATTGTGGAGAGTAATTTCACATGAAAGACAAGTTCATCCTGATTAAAAGGTTGGAGCCGTTTACGCCTCCAACAAATAAGCAGCTTCATACGTTGTGATGTAAATAAATGTAAACAATGATTTCACAATTTAACATGTCGCTTTCATCAACGAAACAAGTAGCAAATGTACTTACTTGTGTCTATCCACTGTTGAGTGTCTCAGTCGGTTTTACCAAGTTCCTCCAACAATGAAGTATATATTCAAGTTGCTGTAAGCATTGGAGTATCTCATTTCACCCTCTGTGGTTTCAGTAAGCATTGTGTAACTATATATAGTCTATGTGAGACACATAAGCACTGATGGGTTAATGTAATGTAAATAAGACAATGCACATCATGTCTGTGTGTCACACGAGGCAAAGGTCGGAAGAACTTAAACAAGTACAGTGCTTGAACTGTTCGTTTAGGGAAACAATTTGATTTAACTGTAATATGTCACAATTTCATTCTGGAAACCCGAAAGCCCAGAAACTGTGACAAAGGAATTTGACAAAATTCAACACCCAGTTATCATAAATATATGCAAAGGAGGAAAAAGTGAAACAATATTTTTTCGAAAACTCAAAATTTAAACGATGTTGTGGAGGTTGTATTTAAATAAAAGCGTATCATAACACAAAATTCTATTCATTTTAACTTAATTCGTGTGTCCTGACGTTTAACCAAGTTGTCCAGTAAGAGGTGTTGGGTTGAGATGGGGTTTAATGTTGCTTTAAAGAGTATTACACTTACATAGCGAGGTGCATGTGAGTGTGCGTGCGTGCGTGCGTGTGAGTGTCTGCTTGTTCTAGTTCGTAGTAATGCTGGTTTTCCACTAAGATACCATACCTCAGTTTAACATGATACCCTCGGACAGATTATATCATAATGGCTCCGAGGTGACCAGTCCGTGTATCATGCCATCATGCCGTGTATCAACATTAAGTAATGACTTTTAATGACTTTTGATATGTCGCCGTCGGGGATCGAACAGCTATGCAGGCAATCACCATAACCACCAGACTATGCAGGTGGTCCCCAGCAATGGGAGTATGTGTTTGATTAAAGACCGGCCATGAGCCAGGATATAACATTTCTGTTATATCACGTTTTTATTTGTTTGCTGCTTGGTTGACACATGTCATCACATCCTAAATGGCGAGATCGATGCTCACGATGTCAATCACAATGGTCTGGTCCATATATTAATATTTACAGACTGTTATCATATACCCGAAAACTTGTGCAGCATTAAACAACAAGCAGACAAGTCATGCTCTCTGCTCTCATGCGAGTGCAGAATGACACCCTTCGCAGCATTGACAAACAGGAAGTGGTGTTGCTGGTTCTACTTGACTTGTCAGCAGCATTTGACACGGTGGACCACGAAACGCTACTCTCTAGACTACAGCGCACCTTCGGTATTCGCGAAACTGCTTGCGGGTGGTTCAGATCTTACCTGTCAGGTCGAGTAATGAAGGTAAATGTGGCTGAAGCCTACTCGAAGACACACCCTCTCAAATTTGGCGTGCCCCAGGGATCAGTGCTTGGACCAGTGCTCTTCTCTGTCTACATCTCTCCACTAGGGAACATCAACAGGAAGCACGGCCTGCAGTTTCATGGATACGCAGATGACAACCAGTTGTACATCAGTGTGAAACCAACCGCAGTTGCAGGATCCCAGGACAAGATGACAAGATGTATTCAGGACATTCGCAAATTGACGTCTAGCAACTTTTTAAAGTTGAATGACGACAAGACCGAGTACATGGTCATCGGTACCAAACAGCAGCTGAACAAGGTCCCAAGTTGTGCCCTTGTAGTTGGAGATGATCTCGTTGATCCAAGTGACAAAGTCAGGAACCTAGGGGTGATGTTCACGAACACCATGTCATCTAACCAGCAAGTGCAGAACACCTGTAGAGCCGCTAACATCCATCTATGCAACATAGGCAAGATACGGTGATTCCTAGATACCGAGACAACTAAGCTCCTAGTCCACTCCTACGTTGCCTCGAGACTTGATTATTGCAATTCCCTCATCAACGGATCTGGCAATATTCATAGTCTCCAACTAGTTCAGAACCGTGCATCCATAATCATCACCAGAACTAAACCAAAAGACCACATAACGCCCGTACTTCAGCAACTGCACTGGTTACCAATCCAACAACGGATACGATTCAAGATTCTCTTACTAACACACAGATCTTTATATGAGGATGACTTTCCCATCTACATGAAAGAACTCGTCAACGAGTACCAACCTTCAAGATCTCCCAGATCTGAAAGAAGTCGTTTGTTGCGTATTCCTGTGACCAAAACCAGAGTTGGCAGCGACGCCTTCTCAGTGACAGCCCAAGTTCTTTGGAACTCTATTCCCCTTAAACTTCGTTGCATCGACAACGTCTCATCCTTCCGAACTCGCTGAAAAACCTTCCTTTTCTCTGGAGTCTCTCTACCCTAGATTTGTTTGAGCGCCGTTGAACAGCTGTAAGCTGGAAAGCAGGCGCGTTATAAATGCATTATTATCATTATTAATATCATATGTTGCTGGGGATCCAGTCGTGTGTTGCTTACAGGGAAGACAAGTCTAGTATATAAAATGTCAAGTTATTTTGTTTTTTAAAATTCTTTTTATTGTTCCCATCAATGCAAGTTTCGAGTATATGTACAGCTATATGCGAGTATACATTGCTGACACATCAAAAATATGTATATATTGCACTTCAAACTTCAGTGGGTTAACAATGGTAATTCTGGATCAAATAATGGAATTTATCAAAAACATTGTTTCTTTTGGATATAATATTTTCAACCATGAATATCTTTATAAGGTTTTCTAAGTTGGGAATATTTTGTATATATAGATGTGTCTTTTAGCGGAAAGTATTGTATGATAAAGAAGTGGGTTAGTTCTTATAGTACAAAACCACACTTGAAATTGTTGTCAATCGCAATTCCTGTATGATTTGATTAATCCAAATTGAAGTTCATTCCAAATTTATTTTGTTTCCTCACATTCCCAAAATGTCAAAGTTAACATTTACATTATTACACTCCCCATGTTGCTGGCATTATATAGGAAAGAAAAATCTCGGATTCCAACTATCGTTGAGACAACCCTGGGACAGAATCATAAGAGATGCCTTTAAAATGGTGGCATGTTGGCAAGTAAGTTTGAATATTGAGCTTATCGATGAATACATTAATATGTAGCAGAAGAAGATCTTTAAGTTAAGTGTCACAGTTACATGACTATAATGATATGTTTCACCAGACAAAGGGGTTCTCATAAAAAAGTGAAAACCTCGAAAATACAGAAATATCTGATTTAATGTATCAACATATGATTGATATTCTTGCTGTGTCTTTTCTTTTTTAGATAATTTTACATCCGTTATTCTGCCACGTGATACCACGAAAATAACAAGTACTTGTAAATCGTTCATCCTTGTTTATATTTCAATCATTGTTTTTTGGCTATGTATTTTGCTATGTATCGTCAGTTTATGTAACTGACCATGACCATTGTCATCTTGTTATCAACTCGTTCAAACAATTATCACTTTTGTCAGATATTGTTACGCTGCGTATGTTGTATGCCTCTCCACTGACATTCTGAGAAATTGGGTTTACACGTTGTGCTTTATGTTGTGGTTCAAACCCGACCTATCGATGTGACGAGCTAACGCATGAACCACTTGGCTACCCACTGCCCTAACTACACTGGGTTGTGGAAAAAGTGAATCTGAAGATAAATATAAATACTACGTACCTGTGAAAGACATATGGATATATTTTACGTGAGTTTCAAACATTTCAGCCAGTAAACATTCAGTTGGCATTTGGAAGGTGATATACAGGTAACAACATGCATTGAAAACGTAACACTTGGAAAAATAACCAATCGTGGCCCTTTTTGATCACACGTCTTGTGAAGTTATTTAACGCTGGTGTCAAATAACAGGGAGAAGGTTGATGCGCTTGGCAAGAGGATAATTCCATATCTTACGACTTCGAGCCAACTGGATCAAGCTACAAATTGCATCCCGGAAAGCTGAGAATGCTCACGTCTCCTTTGACCAAGGTACAAGTCTAAGAATTTGCGCCAAAACAAATTCCACAATCGTCGGAAATATATAACTGTTACAGGCATAATCCGTTGTAATATTTCCATCATTCCCCTTAGGATGTGTTTATGAATCACTACCATTGTGACGACACCAGGTGTTCCGAAAAGGTTAGCGTAACCCGACCCTCTTCGTTCAGAACACATGTTCTGTTTATTTCAAATTAATATGTAAGCATAAATCATTAATTGCACATGGTCCTGTTCCAATGGCCAGTTCCTAATAAGGTTGTAGCTGCTTGACCAGTGGTACCTTATCTGCAACCACCCCCCATGCCTCTCATCAGTGTTAACCACACTACATCCTTTTCAGTTACCAGCTGTGACGGTGGTCAGTAAATAACTTGAAGTTGGCTTATTGCTTGTGTTGTTTTACGCCGCACTCTTCAATATTCCAGCTATATGGCGGAGGTCCGTAATTCGAGTCTGGGCCAGACAATCCAGTGATCAACAGTGTGAGTATCGATCTACGCAACTGGGATACGATGACATGTGTCAACCAAGTCAACAAGCTTGACCACCCGATCCCGTTAGCTGCCTCTAAGTCATTGGGTTCCGCAGACCCGGATCTAACCCAGATTTTCCTGGGTGTGCGATATGACTGAAGTACTGCCGATGCAAAGTTAAAATTTAGCTCACTCCAGTATACTGTTCAAAGAGTACAAAGGAACGTAGCTGTATACTGTGTACTTTAAGTGACAACAAACTCCATGATAGGTAATACACTGTATTAGACCAGGATACCAGGGGTAGCAAACAATGATTATGAACAATTGGACATAGTATATGAATCTTGTTACTCACAACTGCCACATTCTTCTTTGATAGCATTGTTTCAATGATGAGAGTACTAATTCTTTTACATTCTTTTACATCACGTGTATTCATATATTTGTACTTACATAGTTGCCAAGAATATATCCTACAATAGTTTACACATGCAAATACCTCTTTGTTTATCTATATTTGGAACTTGTATTTTCTGTGACAGATTATAAATGTATCGTACAAAATATAAGGCGTGAACTATACCCCACTTTTGAAGTATTGTTGATTTCATACCATTTACATATCGAACACATATGGAACTGTAAATATTGCATGTAATCATATGTATGTGTGGATGGATGGATGGGTGGATGGATGGATGGATAGACGGATGGATGCATGAATGAATGCATGCATGAATGAATGAATGAATTAAATCTAATGTAAATATGTTGTCCATTAACATGACGTGTAAAAATGGAAAGGTCATTCTATCTTGCATGTGTCTGTAGTCCTAGTAATGATGTCGTAATTACGTCATCTCATCTTTTAGATCATTACGAAATGGAAGCAGGATGAAACTGGTTGTGTGTCAAGGTACCGCACTTTCAACTTCCTCCAGGAGATACATTCACAGACTAAAGGTGTTCATTTCTGTGTTCGTATTATTTCGCTCACTTTCTTCGGATCTAGCCATAAGCCGGTTATCTGTAACCAAATAAACAATAGCACAAATAGAAGAGTATCCAGTTCGTATGGTGTACTTAACTGATGATGCTGGGATATTAATCAGTATGCTCATTTGTAAACTCGGAACCAGTAAAGCATCGAATAATTACCTTATATGTTCTGATAGATAATTCGATTCGTTAAATTTCAAACACTTACCATAGGTAGAGGTGTCGTGCTTTGTCCTGCGAAAAGATTGTGGTAATTTATGGCTTGTATAGTTAGTGTGTTACATGACATTACCGACAATTGAATCTTCGTGAAATTATCAAGGCAAGGCCAAACTGAAATGGGCAATATCAATATCACTGTCAATATCAATATCACTGTCAATATCAATGTCAATGTCAATGTCAATGTCACCTGTGCGATAATGTGTACTAACGTCTTTTGTTTACGAAATCCTAATAGGTTTATGAAAAAGGAGATTAATGACCGATATCTTCACAAACTCAAAACACACGTATAGGCCATTAGAAAGTAACTTACCAATTAACAAATGTTTTTTTTGGATTTAGCCATACATAATAATGTTTCTTAAAAAATGAATGTGTCTCTTGAATAGTCACTTAAGTATGATTACGGTTAGGAATATTTTTTTTCAGACAACAATACATGATGTTTTTAAATGGAGTTAGTAGCTACATATACGTAACCTTACGAAGTGATCTACAATGATATACTTAGAGAATAACCCATGAGGTACTAACAACAAAGGGTTGTATTTTGCGGGAATAAGAAAAACAACATCAAGAATAAAAAAACAAGCAAACAAAAGAACCCCAAAGACCCTCAAAACTAAGGGCTAGATAGCTGATATAGTTACATAGACATACACAATCTTTCAGTTTTAATATAGTATGTTTACAGTGTTCGTGCAGACATACATTTTACATAAACCCATCCCAGAACTCCGGTAATATTGCCGGGCAATACTGGTAGTAAAATCATGTGAAGACTTATTGAGGCTGATGCAGAACAGAGAACTTACATGTACGAACTTGTAGATCCATTTGAGACGTTTGGTAAGCCTGTAACATAAAATTATTGACATCTTTAAATTTAAAATCGATCATCACATGATTCAGTTTGGTGAATGTTCCATCCTATCCTGATCATAGATTGTTGCTCTTAATGATAACCACTGATTCAAATATTCCGACGTATCCTAATTGCGTAGGTCGATGCTCATGCTGCTGATCACTGGGTCGTTTTGGTTATTTATAGACAACCGTAATTTAGCTGGAATAACAAAGAATATTCCGACGACTGTCATATTGGTGCTATTTCACATATTTGTGAGTAAAGTCCATCCACTTACTTATTATACATCTCACATATCGCATCATCACATCTGAGACTCACGAGATTTTGATAAATGTTTGAACAACAAAAATATTTTCAAACGCTGAAATGAGTCTTATTTGATAAAATACATGCACTTTATACGTCTCTATATACACGTATATCTTAATGACCATTTGAAGTGGAAAATATAAAATACGTCCTTCACCTTTACCCCTGAGAGACTTGGACCGCAGCTTCCACAGAATGAAGACAGATACAGCCACCAACAACAGAAGTCCCGCAACAACGCCGACCCCGACACCAACGCCAACTTGGAAACCATCAGCTATGACAAAAGTGAAATGTAGACCATGATGAAAATTGGGACAATGTGAGGTTATCCTTCTTAGAAAGGAAAAATATATTTGTATTTTTCTGTTAGACGCAATAAAATCATGAAAAATGTGTTATATATTTTCATATTCCACAGACTATATATCGTTAACGAGTTGTTCGTCTTATTGGGGAGTGAGTGAGTATGGTTTTAGCAACATTCCATCTATATCACGACGGGGGACACCGGAAATGGGCTTCACACATTATACCCATGTGGGGAATGGAACCCGGGTCTTCGGCGAGACGAGCGAACGCTTTAACCACAAGGCTACCCCCACCGCCCCTCGTCTTATTGGATCCAACAAAGTACAACCCCTGCGAAGACTTGGCTTACAACTGATAGTCAGCTTCGCATGTTTGTCTATAGAGGCTATTAATGGGATCGGGTGGTTAGGCTGTTAGGCGTGGTTGATGAATGTCATTGCTTAGCAGTTGCGTAGATCGATGTTCATGCCATCAGTCACTGATCTACATTCAATTATTATAGTTAGAATATTGCAGAATTCAGTGTTAAACCTTTCTGGACCTCAGTACAACTATGGGTTAACGTTACATTACGTTACAACTATGAGACTATGCTTCGTAGTCTAACAACTAAGAACCCGTGAAGATCCGGGCTAGAATTGATCTTAAGCAACCCATGCTTGTGGTAAAAGGCGACTAACGGATCACGTGGTCAGGCACGCTGACTTAGTTGACACATGTCATCGTATCCCAATTGCGTAGATCGATACTCATGCTATTGATCACTGGATTGTCCGGTCCAGACTCGAGTATTTACAGACTGCTGCCAAATATCTGGAATATTGCTGAGGGCGGCGTTAAAACAAACAAACAAACAAACAAACAAAACAACAAACAGTATACACCCAGGTTTGATGATGGCTGAAAATAAACAGACATGAAGTTATTTGATCTGCTCTACATACATGACTCCATGGCCGTCGGACAGTTTACAATCATCCTGAGCTTCGACGATGTCAGCGTTCTGTTTTCATTCGTCGCAGTGCATGAAATAGGAGACAGGTTATCATCGCAGGTGGCAATGAGAGTAAGGATGCTGAAAGTAAGGGTTAGACTGCCGACATTCCTTGTGTGAGACTCCACTTCTTGCGTTACAGTTTGATTGTCCTTCATCCAGATAAGTGACGATTTTTGTGAGGTGGGGTTTGTTTCACATTGCAATCTTAGTTTTTCCTTGTCGCTGACAGGTAAGACGTTTCCCGTTGTGCCTTGGATGGTCACAGTCGTGAGAGGAACTGAAATTAAATGTAGCCAATATCACTTGCAACTGTAGCTCAAATGAGTCATGTGCAGTAATATTATTTATTTCTTATCAATGTAAATTGGACACATCTTTTAGGATAAACAGCCAAGAAAAATCTTCAAATGAGGAAACAACCAAGAAAAATCTTCAAATAAGGACTGACTGACTGAGTTTGGTTTTACGCCGCTTTTAGCAATATTCCAGCAATATCACGGCGGGGGACACCAGAAATGGGCTTCACTCATTGTACCCATGTGGGGATTCGAACCCGGGTCTTCGGCGTGACGAGCCAACGCTTTAACCACTAGACTACCCCACCGCCCCTTCAAATAAGGAACAGAGATCGATTTTACTTTTACTCATGAAAAACCCCAAACAACCCGGGCACTCACATTCAAGTGTTACTTGAATTCTTGCCCTTAATTGAGATCCAGTGTAGGAACCACTTTTCTTTGAATACAATGTACGTTCTCGCGGGTGGGATGAAGTTTGCGATTTGAGGTAGCTGTTATCTAACATTTGAGTGAGACCGAATTCCTGGTGTATGATTGGCTACTCCACGGTGATGACCTAAGGTCACTTGCTCTTCAGTAATTTTCGTCAGCACCTTTTTCGAAACTGTATGAGTTTTGTGTGTTAATGCTCTTTAATCTTGAAGGGTCGTATCCAATTGTTTAGATCGATGCTCATGCTTTTGATCACAGTATCGTCTGGTCCAGACTCGATTATTTACATATACCTGGAATATTGCTGAGTACGGCGTTAAATAACAAACCAAATATTTGATCTTGTCTAGTTTTCATTTATCACCATCGCCTTGATAATACAAGGATAAAGCGAATAACTTCTAATGTGGAGAGTCACATTCGGTGTGAACGTTAAGTAGGCAGCCATTCATGACGCCATTCATGGTCATAAAAATATGCATTGATTCAAAGCTCAGATTTAAAGCTGCAATTTTAGGAAGAAACAGATCACATCATTCGTGCCTCTCATGTACCATTGACCATGCAACTCGTTTCAAAACAATCTAACTTGTTAAAAACCTCGCTATATAACACACCATGACATTGTTACAAGCATCTTTGTGATGCTGATGCACCACCGCATATATGTATCGCCACTCACCAGAAAATATTGATTTCGTATTTCATCGAATGATTTTGTAGGTGAAATGGAAATCATATAATATTGTGTTTGTCGGATAAAACCGAAATCTTACCATCAGCCGTACCAGTGCTGCATTGTACAGCCATTTTCATGGCTCGTGATGACCTTCGGCTGATGTTGTTAGAAGCTATGCAAGCTATCTCTTGCATGTCATCACTGCATGTAGGGTTCAGTGTCAAGATGCTGATGGACACTGTTTTCCCGAGGTAATTTCTTTGTGATGTCACAGGCTGTGTTAATAGTGCCTGGTTGGCCATCATCCAGACGATATTCGATGGTGGTCTGGTCGGATTGGTTTCGCACACAAGAGTAATGGTATCATTCTCTGCGATGGCCATTGGGTTGGTTGTGGCATTGAGGATTCTCACAGAAGTGACGGGAGCTGAAATGTTACCAGCAGATCTGTCATACCCAAAAACATTACGTCCTAAAATCATCCATACTGAAAATGCCAAACAACTTTATTTATATATAAGCTATAAGAAGAAACAGATATTGATTAAACAAAATATCGAACACCTTAATTATTGTTCGAACTGATTATCAGCATCTTATGTGCAAATTCACCCACATTGAAAAGGCATTACATAGTTTTTATTATATATCAGCTTTAGGAAGAAACAGATATTGATATTAAATATCGAACACTTTGGACACACGTTTGACATGAAATGTGCTTATGACTGTTCAGACAGCTAGTTCTGGAATATCAGATGAGTGAGTATGCGTAGTTCAAATCCAGTTTTAATGTCACAGTATTGCAGCTAAGTCATAGCCTGTTAGGTTAATGAGGGAGGACATCCGAAGTGTTTCGGGTCTTAGAGGTTTACAAGATTGATGGAAGCAACGAGCAGTGTATGGTGCCTACACACATAGAAACACCATAGGAGGATTCGAACCCAGGGCCGTCGCTTTATGGGACGCCGATGGCCAATGTGAAGCTCAAGAACACTTATTATAATGCCCCTATGCTTCAAACATGGTTGGAGGCCCTAGGTAAGTAAATATTCCAGGACGCTGTGCGTGTCTCATGTTGGACAGAAACCTGTAGCCTTGTTGAGTTCAAATGCCAGATATATACTTTCTTATGGTTCTCGATTAACAGCTCCATATTCATGCTCCTATTCTCAAGACCATTATTTGGGACTTTCCACATCCATCAAACCAACATGAGCTGTTCTAGGCAGCATTGACGCACATTCGCTCACACGTACCGTTTCTGCATCTAACAGCCAGCGTCAGGTTCGATGTTACGATGTAGTCGTCATCAGAAGCTGTGCAGTATATTTCAGGCATGGTGTCACTGCAAACGACATTCAGTGATAGAATGCTTGTGGTTACAGTTCTGCCAAGAACATCTAATGTGTCGTATGTCTCAGCTTGCGTCAGGTTCTGGTTGTCCATCGTCCAGTAGATGGTCGATGGTGGTCGGGTGGGGTTGGTTTCACACATCAATCTGATGACATCACCCTCCACCACGGCAAGTGGGTTTGCATCTGAGACCACTAAACCATTCTCGGACCCGGTGAGACGTTGTCCGTTGGTCGATACATGGTACAACGACACGTTCGTGAGAGGAACTGAAATGTATAAGGAGAACTTGTTCTTGAAATACACACATCTAGAAAATTGGATAAGAAGGGAAAAGAAATGAAAAGCCAACAAATCCTTGTAAGGTTAATTGCAAGGGATGTAAAAATACATGAGGATTTGACCACTAAACTGCAGCAAGTTGCTATGTATAAATTCGATCTAGCTGCAGTATTGTTGAAATTAACTTGAAATATCAGTACAACATGCTTTGAAAGCACTGTCCTTAAGATGCAGCAGTAATGATTTTGTTATTTTGAACCGGAACAGAAAGTGTCAAGTCCATTTCACAGAACGTGAGTACGTGAGTTGAGTGTTTACCAAATTTGTACTGGTCTCATGCGTTTAAAACTTTTGTAGAAACCAACGGCCTTCGGAATGGTGTTGAAAAGCTTCAAAACATAATCGCGGCAAACCGGGATTCGAATCCACAATCATAGGATCCTGGGATGTCCAAGAGACGCAACTCTTCACAACACATTAGCGCCTTAGACGATTGGACCACCCGTGTATGCTCTATTGCTACACTTTGTCCTCAATTAACATTGCTCATTGTGGAAAAAAACCTTTCAATCTTCTCCTTAGTATATACCTGGTGTTCAGCCACCTTACCAAACTACATTTTCATCAAACAGAATGATGTTATCATGTGCTTATTCTGCATCTTATTTAGATTAGTCGTACATATTTTTTTTATAAGGATTAGCCTCCGAAAATGAAGATATATTTAATTCGCAATGAATTATCCACCTACCATTTGAACATTGTACAAGCAGCTTTTGCGACAGAGATGCCATTCTGGTACCGTTATTGGCAGCTGTGCAGTATAATTCCGGTATATGATTACTGCAAGTAACATTTAGTGTGATGACACTTATAGATACAGTTCGACCATGAACGTCTGTTGTCTGAGATGTTGCAAGCTGCGCCGATGGCATGTGGATCATCATCCAGTTCATGGTCGATGGAGGTCGGGTAGGGTTGGTTCTGCACGTGAAGCTGATGACGTCACCCTCCACCACGGGCATCGGGCTTGATGTGAAGTTGATGAATGTCAAATTATTTAACGGAACTGAAATGTATACGGTTCAATACATTTTTCATAAATTCAATACAAATTCAAACATAGTTGCTTCATCTAAAAAGCAGAATAAATGAATTCAAGCCAAAAGAACCGACATGTTGTAAAAAGGAACAGTGACAATATCCATGCCGTAATTTAGTGGGAGTATTTATTTTAATCACAAATTTTGCTCAAAACGTGCATTTTGTTTTGTCAATACAATACATAATTAAATATATTTCTGTACACAATGTTTGAAAACTTCTTTAGGGCTACGTTCCTCCCTATCCTAGACCCGTAAAGATCCGGGTTAGAATTGATCTTCTGTAACACATGATTGTCGTAAGGGGCGACTAACGGGATCGGGAGTTCAGGCTCGCTGACTTGGTTGACACATGTCATCATATCCCAATTGCGAAATCGATGCTCTTGCTGTTGATCACTGGATTGTCTGGTCCAGACTCGATTATTTACAGACCGCCTCCATATAGCTGGAATAATGCTGAGTGTGGCGTAAATCAACAAACTAACCAACCAACTCTGATACTATCCTATTGGTCAACATACCATTGTCACACTGGACAGACATCTTTAATTTCGGTGATGTTAGAAAGGTGTCGTTAATGGAAGCCGTGCAGGATATATCAGGCATGTGGTCACTGCAAGTAGCCCTCAGTGTCAGGATGCTCCTTGTTACTGTTTTCCCGCGACCAGTTGTGTAAGATGTAACAGCATCTGTTAATGTCTCGTTGTCCTTCATCCAGGTAATGGCTGATGGTGGTAGGGTCGGGTTGGTTTCACAAACAAGAGTGATGACATCGTTCTCTCTTGCAGATAACGGGCTGGTTGTGGCATTGAGGATGGTCACAGATGTGACAGGAACTGAAATGAACAAGTAGCTTACACCCGGATTCTTATTGATTAAAACATAGAAATGTGCAATGGAAATATATAATGCTTTGTATTTGATTGATCTGTTAGTCAAACATATTTGCAGTACATTGTCATCTCGACCTGTCTTCCAATTCGTTTGTATTTCTCTGGGCACATGTATTTACGCCATTGAATACGGATGATACCACACACCCGCACCTAATTCAACACCAACAATGATGTGGAGTAGATTCGAATAAGGACATAAGTCTCTTAAATGTATGGAGATCATATGTGCAAAGTTTCAGCATCATCACTTTGAATTGAAAATTCGACATAGTGAGTGAGTACAATTATGTTTAACGTTTCTTTAAAAGTACTTCAGTAATATCACGGTGACTCAGCTTCATGAGAAGGGGGGCGGTGGGGTAGTCTAGTGGTTAAAGCGTTGGCACGTCACGCCGAAGATCCGGGTTCGAATCCCCACATGGGTACAATGAGTGAAGCCCATTTCTGGTGTCCCCCGCCGTGATATTGCTGGAATATTGCTAAAAGCGGCGTAAAACCAAACTCAGTCAGTCAGTCAGTCATGAGAAGGATTACCCCGGATTAAGTGGTAAAAGTCTGAGACCTCATCACTTTGGGCTTTCCCAACAATGTTGTTACAAACGGCTTCAAACCCAGCCCTCGCACTCACTCACCCACTCACTCACAGACTCATGACCTTCTTACCATAGTTATTATTCCGAACTGGACTGTTGAAAAAACCCATACATCCTACTGATACGGGATCCAGTGAGCAACACGGCAAATGAGCAAGTTGTCGAGATGCTTCTGATAACCATCTTCTTAGATGGGGCCTGGAAGCTAGAGACGGAGACCGTTTGGGACGCTGTTGTGACCGTTGTCCAGTTGGTGTTGACATCTATATCGGCTGTACAATTGTCCCTAGTAACAAGGGTCACAGACCGTGGGTGTGGCACGGTGGCGTAGACTTCGGGCACAATATATTCCGTGCCATAAGCATCGGTCGAGGGAACTATGGCGGAGAACGCTCCCCTCTGCAAAGGATCTCCAGCAATAATTGAAATCAGTGTTGGTCTGGAACTCGTAATGTAGATTACCTCCAACTCAGAACTTAGGAACTCTTCAGAATAGGTTTCTCTTTCGTTGATGACAAAAGAGTTAACTTCTGTGCGGGATTCCCTGGTGACAAGAGTGCCATTGTAGGCTGCTAAAACATTAATCTTATATTGCGCGACACCTGCAATCCAGGTGATTATGTACGAAGTGCCCCATGTCACTACTGGTGGAACCTGGCTTAGAGCAGCATCTACAACACTCACAGGATACGTGAGCACATTTGCTCCAGACAACACAGCTACTGGAAAATCACTCTCAACCACAGTTCCGCCCAAATCACACTCATAAACCCGTGTAGTAGTGATTTCCAAGAGCTGTTGTTTTCGTAGGATGACAGACAGCTCGTCTCCATTTGTGTACGTGTAACCAAGATAATCGTAAATACAATTTGTTTTGAAATAGACTCTAACAGTTGTAATATCGGTGTCAGCGACTATCTCCATTAACGCACTATTGGGCACAGATGGAATGATATATTTGGTCGATAACGCCTGTATTGGTGCCACCGGAAACGCATCAAAAACGCGATTGGATTCTGCATAATTCAGAAAATCAAGGTTAACTTCTGTTGAACATACCAATTCCAAGCCAAGTTTTTCAATGTGAGTTCCGATATAGAGGAGATACTTGTTAAGATAAGCTTGTGTGACAGTTTTCTGTCCTTGAAGTGTGATGGATGATGATCTGCCGTAGCTGTCACTTAATGTACAGTTTCCTTCTTCGTTGTGTTCAATGAATAGGTATCCATCTACTGCACCATCGTAATCGTGTGTGTCCGTAGGAAAAAATGCCCAAATAAACCGGGTTCCACTGTGACCCAAAGCTGGAAATAGAAATCAATGTACAAAAGAAACATAGAAATTTTACAAAACGAATTATCCTTCAAAACTGTTAATGTTTTTTGGTGTTGTTTTGATATTATAACAGAGACAAAAAATCACTGCCCGAGAACGTGGTAAGGAGCATAAGCCCTTGTTTTCTAACGTCACTAACTGCATTATGACACATATAAAGTCTCACGTATTTACAATTACTCTGTTAAACATTTGTTTGTAAAAACACATCTAAATTGACCTACAAAAAAAAGTAAACTCCTTGTAGGATTTGGGTAAATATTTGGAAATGCTTTGATTGTGTCTTACGAGTCAGAAACATTTCGTATTTGTTGCTAAACAATTTATGTGAATAAGCAAAAATGAATATGAAGCATTGGGAAGAATTAGGCCACGGTGGCTTGTGAACCTGTTGCACACATATTAGGTCAGTGATGACCAGTAACGTCTAAATTATCCAGATAGCACTTACAGAGCTGAAGATCATGTCAACGTAGAAAGATGGGAACTGAAAGATGGCGTTAATCTATATCTATGCATTTTATTTATTTATTTATTTCATGCATTTTATTTATTTAGCAAACATTTAAGTAACAAACTGTCGGTCATGAAAGTTGACAATAATGCTTGAGTTTATAATGTGTATCGCCAAATTGGGCAATATTCCAACTACATATACAGTACAACCAAAAATTATTGAGAATTTAAGATTGTAATTTTTTTTTCACTCATTACTCACGTATTAAATGTGAATATTAGCAGGACATAACTCCAGATTCAAAGACAGGTGAACAGTTAGTATTTTGTCAAGTCACCATTGGCAGCAATGGAGTCTTCAATGCGGCGGGGCATACTACTGATCAAAGAAGTTAGAAAGTCGTGGTCCATGCTGTCCCAATATTGGACCACCTATTCGTTCATTTCAGCAATATTTGTCAGATTTTTCTTATTGACACTTTCCTTCATAAGTCCCCAAACATTTTCTATTGGATTTAGGTCAGGGCTATAGCTTGGCCAATCTAATAATGTCATATTTTGGCTCCGAAACCAGGCCTGTGAATGCTTTGAACGATGTTTTGGGTCGTTGTCCTGCTGGAAAATCCACAAAATTCCATAGAACACGTGAGCAGATGGAAGTAAATGTCCCTCGAGAATATCTGTGTACCGCTCACTGTTCATATTCCCTTCAAATACACAGAGGGGCGTTGCCCCTAACACAGATATGCCACCCAACACGTTAAATTTCGGACTGTACTTTGGGCCCTGATACAAAAGTGTTTCAGTTTCTTTGGTCCAGAATTTCAGTTTATTAGGAAACAGCCACACGGAACTTTCATCTGAGAAAATCACATTGTCCCAGTTAAAATTTCTATGCTGTCAGCATCAGTTCAACCTTCGCTCCTTTTGTTAAGGTTTCATGATCGGTGATGGAATTCCTCGACTTTTCTGCCAACCCATTGCATGCAGCTCAGTTCTAATTGTCTCCTTACAGACAGCCACAGTTCCGCTATCAATCATATCCAGCCTTAAGTTTTCTAAACTCCTTCGTTTGTTTTTAGAAACAAGAATACCAACCCGCCTGCTGTCACCGACAGTCAATTTACTGGGCCTACCTGCGCCTCCCTGGTGCTCAATGTCATATCCATTTGCAATAGTTTTCAAAACACGATAAACAGTGGACAAAGGGATGCCTGTTCTACTTGAAATCACTTTAGCTGATCTGATGTCCCTGTTATAATACTCTAAAATCAACTTCCTCTTCTCTGAATCATCCATACTGAGGATAACTGAAAATGTCGTCTGCTAGCAAGTAAACAAAGGGGGATAACTCTTCACAAACTAATGAAAAAAGGATTAACGGAGTTGTCTCTCTTGAATGAAACCAAGCACTTGATAGCTGGTCAAGGTTGTGTATACTAGAAATCCAGTTAAACATATTCCTAAACTTCTCAATAATTTCTGGTCATACTATATATGACGGCGGCCTGCAATGATCGAATGTGAACCACATTACTGTCAGGTCAACTACATGTGGATATATATGGCGGCGGCCTGCAATGATCGAATGTGAACCACATTACTGTCAGGTCAACTGCATGTGGATATATATGGCGGCGGCCTGCAATGATCGAATGTGAACCACATTACTGTCAGGTCAACTACATGTGGATATATATGGCGGCGGCCTGCAATGATCGAATGTGAACCACATTACTGTCAGGTCAACTACATGATTGTTCATGACCATCCGACCAGCATAGGTTGCTGATTTGTATCCGGAATCTTCAATCGATGTCTCCTGGACTGATGGAATAGACTGTTTCAACATAATTTGACATGATAGATTATGAGCTCATTTCTAGCTTCTTCATTGCAAAACTGTGAAAATCAGAGTTACAATTGGTTTTCAACAACTAATGCATTCGTAAGAGACGACCAAGGGGATTGGGTGGCTGGGGTCGCTGACAGGGTTCATACATGTCATTACTGTCGTATTGCGTTTTCCTATATCTGTGCTAATTGTTTAAAACAAAGAATTATCTGGTCCAGTCCCGAATATCTACAGACCATAGAAAGCTGACTTGATCTAATCGTTCCACGTATAAGTCGATTAATCAATTAGTCAAGTTCATTCTTCGAATTATTTACAACGTTTGATACAGAGGGTTTTCGAATTGGATTGGCAAATGGGAACTACCCGTACCTCGTCTAATCAAAACGGCAATAACAATTGTGCTTATCGTATTGAAAAATTGGAGTGAGTAGACCGAAATGTGTCCTACCTTTTGGGCATTGCACAAACATCTTCAGCCCTGGGGATGTCAGAGTAGAGACATTATTGGAGGCTGTGCAGGATATTTCAGACAAGTGATGACTGCAAGCAACAGTCAGTGTTAGGACACTGGAGGATACGGTGTTCCCGTGGCCGTCGGCGATGTGGGATGTTGTAGTCTGCGTTACGACCTCACTGCCCCTGTTCCAGGTGATCATCGATGGTGGTCGAGTAGGGCTGGTTTCACACACAAGACTGATGACATCATTCTCGTCTACTGGTAATGGTTTTGTTGTGGCATTAATGATATTTACATCAGATAGAGGTACTGAAACACAACAAACAGCATAAATGTGTGTGGGGGGGACATAAGTGTCCCGTATGGATCCGGCATCAACCGGATTGGGTGGTCACTCTCACTGACTTGGTTGATGTCATCGTAGCCCAATTTCGATGGTCATAATGTTAATCTCTAGATTGTCTGGTTCTGGTTTGATTATCTACTGACCACCGCCATTTACCTGGAATTTTGCTGAGTGTGGCGTTAAAAACAAATTATAATCGTAACTGAAGTATTCACTTTTATAAATCTATCATTTTTCATCAATGTTGTGAGGAAGTACTTAAACCTTAAGCGCCTACTTATCAGGATCTATTTAAAATAAAACATCGAAACTGATTCAATCCTCCATATTAAGCTGTTGGTATTTTGTCTGACTGTTGAAGTGAACGATGAATAAAATGTTGAAATTGACCATTATGCTAGATTCACATCCCTTTAGATGACTGGGTGTCAAAATATCTCTTTCAGAACATGACCGGTTTGGTGAAATGTAAAAATGTTTAAAAATGATTCAAAATAATTTTCAACTAAATATCAGTCATACCATAGGTGCATTGTTCAAGCAGTTTCAACACTGGCGATGTGAGAGTGGTGGAGTTATAAGAAGCCACACAGGATACTTCAGACAACCGATCACTACAGCTAGGTGACAGTGTCAGAACACTGGTGGAAACGGTTAATCCTTGGCCGTCTGTGTTGTGAGATGTAACGGCTTGTGTTAATGTCTGGTTGTCCTTCATCCAGGTTATAACCGATGGTGGTCGGGTAGGGTTGGTTTCACACACCAGAGTGATGACATCATTGTCAGCCACTGATAAAGTGTTTGTGGTGCTGTTCAGGAGAGTCACATCAGTGAGAGGAACTGAAGTGTAAAATACATTATGAATTATGGCACTCTTTCCTATCACGGGTAACAGCTTTTATGTGCCGTTGAACATAGTGATACAACCAAATGAAACTGACAATAATATACAAATATTTTCTGCACATATATTTACGAGACAAATTTATAGAAATTGTTTTGACATTTTTATCCTTTATAAGCATTTCCATAGTTATATGATAATAATAATTCTGCTTCAGCCAATGGTAACCATTTTTGTCACAATAAAACCTTCATGTCTTACACTTCAGAACTTACCGTAATGGTATCCCACTGGACTACTGAAATATCCATACATTTTGGAAAAGCCAAGACCCGTGACCAACACGGCAAATGGGCAGGTGGAGGACATACTTCTGATGACTGTCATGTTGGAAGGAGCCCTGAAGCTGGAGATGGAGGCGACGTGGGAAGGTGTTGATGAAGTTGTCCATATTGTGTTGACGCCTATCTCTGCTGTACAGTTGGGACTAGTGATGAGTGTGATATACCGTACATAGTTCACCTGGCTGGTTTGAATGTCAGATACGAGGTACTCGGTACCATAGTCACCTGCAGATGGAACTACAGAAGAGAAAATGCTGTGTTTTCCATTGTTTCCCGCTATCAGAAAAACACTTATCGGCTTTGAACTTTTTATGTAGATGATTTCAAACTCTGAATCAGAAAAATCTTCAACGTGAAAGTCGGTTTCATTTAGTTGTATGGATTTAGCGCCAGTTTGCGTTTCCCTGACCACAGATGTGCCATTGCTGTTGGCCACAATGTTGACCCTATAGCTTCCAATGTTTAGAATCTTGGGTATTATGAATGATGTTCCGCTTGATCCAATCGGGGGAATCTGACTCATAACAGCATCTTTGAAGGTTTGAGGGTACGACAAGGCAGGAGATCCAGAAAACAAAGCTACTGGAAAATTACTCTCAACAACTGTTCCACCCAAATTACATATTTTCCTATAGCTTGGATATACGTCAGCTAATTGCAATACTTGTCCCTTTCGTAATATTGTGATCAGCAACTGGCCATTGTTGTATGATATCCCCTCTTTAGAGTATTTGCAGTTGCTGTTGAAATAGACTCTGACAGTTGTAGTGTCGTAGGCAGCCACTATTTCAAGAATGGCATTATTGGGAACTGGGGGTACTGTGTACCTGTCTGACAGTGATGCAACAGGAATGATAGGATATGCGTCAGCAAATTCTTCTGATACTTCCTGATTCAGACAATTAAGATTAACATCTGTTGAACAAATCAGTTCCATGGCCAGCCTTTCAACGTGAATGTCAAAAGTGAGAAATTTAACATCAGGTATCGTGTATTGTGTTACGTTTTTCTCCCCCTGAAGAATTATGGCGTGTTCAGTTCCGTTACTGTCTCTCACAGTGCAGCTTCCCTCCTTTAAGTGTTCAATTGACAGAAATCCGGCAGTTCCATAACGTGATTCTTTTGAATAGCGCGCAGGAAAGGGCGTCCAAATAAACCGTGTTCCACCATAAGACACCCAGGCTAGAAAATACAAAACCAGAAAAAGGTATGGACTTGTGTGAATAGAATAGAATAGAATAGAAGAAAATGGAAAAATGGAATGGAATGGAATGGAATGGAATGGAATAGAATAGAAGAATACTTTAATGCCTTTTCAGGAATTTGTGTTACATCAGCAGAGCTACTGACACATCAGAGAGATACAAAACATATTTACATAATTTCATTGATTTAGGTATCTTTACATTTGTTTAAGAGAGATATGGTACATGGAATAAAGGATGTACGGGCTCTCTTAGTTTTCACAACTGGAACTTTGTAGCGGAGGCTTCAGGAGGTTGTATTCCGAATTTAAGTCATGAGTTGGGTCAGATATAATTTTGACAGCTTGATTCACGATTTGCTGCTCATATATTGATGATAAACATTCAAATCTGACTCCAGCGATTTTACTTGCAGTGTTAACAATTCTGTCTATTTTAGATTTGAGATGAACAATTTAAATGGACGACTACATATGATCATGGTGGGTGTGTAATGCTCATCAGAAAAGAACCTTCAGATATTCACAGCGTTATCTGTTGCATTGCCAAATTTGGGTGCCAAAGCGAAAACAAATCTGAGTGGATGTTTGGAAATGGTATTAGCTGCAAATTTGACTGGACATGACAAGTGTTAAGCTTACATGCATGAGAACTGAATTAAACAATTTCATACGTTGTTGTTTTCTAAAAAAAATTGAGCTAACACAGTACCCCTCTTAGATGTAATTGCCAGATGATTTTCATGATGTGAAGTTAATATACATTTTGTCGTCGTTGTCGCTGTTTTGTGATAGTGTGAAAACCTAACACGCATACCTGCTCCCATGTTTAGTTTTGTATATACATTTTTTCATGTATATATATATATATATTTTCAAATGAGGTGTAACATACGCCAGTTCCATGCCCGGATGCAATCAGATATATTCCTCCTTCTGGACACTCAGGATGTACCTTTCAAATGTTTAGTAGTATATAATAGTAGGCAACAATGGAGTGGTCAAACTGCATGATTTCACTGGAAAGAAGATACCGACCAGTCCTTTCATTCTTCTCACAACATGGCAATAAAATATCTTTCTTGTAAAATTTCAAATAAGAACCACTTGAAAATTTACTACATATTTCAAGCACAAAATCGTAACTTAGAATCAAGTCTGTAACAGATAATTTTACCCGAAAAACGAACATTCACACTCTCAAAAACAAAGGTAATCGTTGCCTTCTAAACCTAAGATTTAATGGGCAAGTGTTTAATATTTTCTTGATTATGTTTACGATATATATTATGTATTACTATAGCTATAAAATATGTTGATACGGAACAACTTAAGTAGAGAACTACGTTTATCATAGTCATTCGTTAGGATATTTAAACTATGCTAAACAATAAAAATAAACCATATGTAGTACATTAGCATACATTTATCAACGCCAGGAAGTTATTGATACATGAAAAAATTACTTAAGATAGATATAATATGTATGATCAGAGGAACGATGCTTTTCTCAATTCAAACTTTATGGTTTCACAGTTTCAGCGATGGTATTTGAAAACCGCCACGCTTTGTTAAAGATTGAATATTCAAATATTTATTAAAGTGCATTCCCTAAACAAGGGACGGAACTAGCGTTCATTGTGATCTGTGACCCGTAATCTGTAGCTTAAAGTATGAACCACAATGGATTTGAACTGCTTTTAACAGGCGCACAGTCAACTTACCCTCTGAAAACTATTTGTTCCTCACTATTTGATATTTATAATCATTAGATTATTATGAGCTGCTTATGATATACTCGGAACAATCACTATTTGATATTTATAATCAGTAGATTATTATTAGATGCTTATGATATACTCGGAACAATCACTATTTGATATTTATAATAAGTAGATTATTATAAGATGCTTATGATATACTCGGAACAATCACTATTTGATATTTATAATCAGTGGACTATTATAAGATGCTTATGATACACTCGGAACAATCACTATTTGATATTTATAATAAGTAGATTATTATTAGCTGCTGATGATATACTCGGAACAATCACTATTTGATATTTATAATAAGTAGATTATTGTTAGCTGCTTATGATATACTCGGAACAATCACTATTTGATATTTATAATCATTAGATTATTATGAGCTGCTTATGATATACTCGGAACAATCACTATTTGATATTTATAATCAGTAGATTATTATTAGATGCTTATGATATACTCGGAACAATCACTATTTGATATTTATAATAAGTAGATTATTATTAGCTGCTTATGATATACTCGGAACAATCACTATTTGATATTTATAATAAGTAGATTATTATTAGATGCTTATGATATACTCGGAACAATCACTATTTGATATTTATAATCAGTGGACTATTATAAGATGCTTATGATATACTCGGAACAATCACTATTTGATATTTATAATAAGTAGATTATTATTAGCTGCTTATGATATACTCGGAACAATCACTATTTGATATTTATAATAAGTAGATTATTGTTAGCTGCTTATGATATACTCGGAACAATCACTATTTGATATTTATAATAAGTAGATTATTATTAGCTGCTTATGATATACTCGGAACAATCACTATTTGATATTTATAATCAGTGGACTATTATAAGATGCTTATGATATACTCGGAACAATCACTATTTGATATTTATAATAAGTAGATTATTATTAGCTGCTTATGATATACTCGGAACAATCACTATTTGATATTTATAATAAGTAGATTATTATTAGCTGCTTATGATATACTCGGAACAATCACTATTTGATATTTATAATAAGTAGATTATTATTAGCTGCTTATGATATACTCGGAACAATCACTATTTGATATTTATAATAAGTAGATTATTATTAGCTGCTTATGATATACTCGGAACAATCACTATTTGATATTTATAATCAGTGGACTATTATAAGATGCTTATGATATACTCGGAACAATCACTATTTGATATTTATAATCAGTGGACTATTATAAGATGCTTATGATATACTCGGAACAATCACTATTTGATATTTATAATAAGTAGATTATTATTAGCTGCTTATGATATACTCGGAACAATCACTATTTGATATTTATAATAAGTAGATTATTGTTAGCTGCTTATGATATACTCGGAACAATCACTATTTGATATTTATAATAAGTAGATTATTATTAGCTGCTTATGATATACTCGGAACAATCACTATTTGATATTTATAATAAGTAGATTATTATTAGCTGCTTATGATATACTCGGAACAATCACTATTTGATATTTATAATCAGTGGACTATTATAAGATGCTTATGATATACTCGGAACAATCACTATTTGATATTTATAATCAGTGGACTATTATAAGATGCTTATGATATACTCGGAACAATCACTATTTGATATTTATAATAAGTAGATTATTATTAGCTGCTTATGATATACTCGGAACAATCACTATTTGATATTTATAATAAGTAGATTATTGTTAGCTGCTTATGATATACTCGGAACAATCACTATTTGATATTTATAATAAGTAGATTATTATTAGCTGCTTATGATATACTCGGAACAATCACTATTTGATATTTATAATAAGTAGATTATTATTAGCTGCTTATGATATACTCGGAACAATCACTATTTGATATTTATAATAAGTAGATTATTATTAGCTGCTTATGATATACTCGGAACAATCACTATTTGATATTTATAATCAGTAGACTATTATTAGATGCTTATGATATACTCGGAACAATCACTATTTGATATTTATAATAAGTAGATTATTATTAGCTGCTTATGATATACTCGGAACAATCACTATTTGATATTTATAATCATTAGAATATTATTAGATGCTTATGATGCACTCAGAACAATCACTTTTTGATAGTTTTAATTATTAGATTATAATTAGATGCTTATGATATACTCGGAATCATATAATATATATAATCATATCAGAGATATGTTCTCTTGCCTTGACGTTTTAATTTATGCTTACTGAAAGGATTTTGTAGCTTATTTTCATTATTATAGATAATATATTGTGTTTAGATTATACTTTGAAATTGTGGAAAGTCATGTAATACAGTTATCAAAAAAGTTATGAAAGGTTATGATTTCGCGTGCGCCTGGTGGCTACAATCGTAGGATTTACTTTACATGTATACCTGGCACTAATTACAGCAGCAATCTTTCGGGGAAAGTGAAGAAATATTTACACGTGTGCGCGGCCATTAACCACATACCTCGTTAGACCATATACAATATATACACGTGACATGTTTAAACAAGAAAAATTACATTTATTTTCTTATTGTAAATACTTACGTTAATATTATTATTAATTAAACAGTTCACCCGCTTCTGTGTTGCGAAAGATACAATTTAGTGAAAACAAAGTAATATGAATTTTGTAATTTCTGCAATATACGAATATATTTGAGAAAATATAAAATATTACATATAAAAATTGTAAAGTATATTTTACGCGAAGGAATATTTGTTGGCTTGTCAAAATCAATGCCATATACCTGTAAACCTGACAAAAATATAATAACATATATAACAACATTTGTTACGTGTATGCGGTCTTTGTATGGTGGATATTGACTCGATAAGTGACACATACGAAATGTTGGCAATGCTAGTTTTCATACGTGCAGTGGTTGTTGGTTAACACTTACTAAGTATCATTATCATACCAATGTTATATTTAATGGGTGTTGCATCAGTAAAATATGTCGTTTTATTTTGAAAACATGAAGTTCAATACATGTGAGAACTCAATTTGTTTGCAAATTTCGTGCTTTTATTCTATCTTAACAATTCGACATATGGGAGATTTAGTGTTAACTGAGTCCCTCATTATCTTAGAACACGAGTGAGTTATGTCGAAACAACGTAATATGCATTTTTGCATTCTCGCATATTGTACGCACACATTGTGTAATAACAATAACGAGAAAATACTATCTGCAGAATTAAACAGCTAAAGATTTTTATGGGTATCTCATCATACAGCGACTGTGTTTCCATACAAATGCACCCAGTATACCTTGAATCCCGCGGCAAGCTACCCATTTAAATAAGGTCGGGGTCGCTATCTAGGATTCTTATGATGGTTTTGTACAGCAGCTGCCCAACGTTCATTTGTCGATAGGTAGCTCAGGTCAAGCTTCAGTATGTTATCTCCGGCGCGATTCAATGCCTTGGTCCCAGTGTGTAACGCGGGTAAATATTTCGCAATCCTGCATTTCACAATGTCCATAGTGTTTCTGCCCACCTCAGCGCTTATTGAACCTCCGTAAACAGAACAAGGAAATCCCCTTAATACGGACGGATGAAAACGCCCGAATTAAGGAGTGTGAGGATATCAGACTGACATTGATATCCTGCACGTGTGTTTCAAGGAGTAATCTTCAGAAACAACGCTATGTATGCAGAACGGCATGCATTGAAAACATACTGTCATCTTCTTTTCAGAAACATAACAGCAAGTTATTGGTTCAGTATAAGCTGCAATCAATATGAATATGTGTGCAACCATGCCTTCATAGATGCCGAATTCTATTTTAAATATTTGAATTTTAGCAAGAAAGATGTTATGAATGATAGGTAGTCATATAATGTCAGATGATTATATTCTTATTCAAAATACGTTGTAGTTCGGACTACAAAATGTAGCTGAGCGTGCTTGAAATAACGAAGGATAATACACACCAATGACTGACGTCATGATTGGTCCGAACAGAATCAAGCATAATCCCACGAAAACCTGCTTGACCATGGTCATTCTTGTTCTCCTCGTCCTCCGTGGACACGAACAATATCACAACCGTTCGTCAACACCGACCGAGTGGGATTTGACTCTCCTCCGAACACCCTGTGAAAAGAACTGCAAACATATCCCTTATACGGAAGCCTTACTGTGCCATGAGAAAACCCGTTTTGTGACCGATTTTTTTTCTTCGCCTATGCCCACTCAAACTCTTGATGCTCGTTCAACGAAATGCTTGTTTACTGACAGAAGTAGGCCGGATATTATGTTTTGTTTTGGGTGAGTGAGTGAGTTTAGTTTTATGCCGCTGTTAGGAATATTCCAGCAGTATAACGACGGGGGACACCAGAAATGGGCTTCACACAGTGTTTCCATGTGGGGAATCGAACCCGGGCCTTCAGCGTGAGGAACGAACGCCTTAACCACTAGGCTACGCCCCATCGCCCCTGTTTTGTTTTGAGTCCGGGCGTATTGATACATGTATGTTCTTGTACAAAAAAATACAAATCCAAAGAAATCTGTGAAAGAATGAATTATCTATTCCAATATTTAAATTTTTTTCTCATTTTCGATATTGCCTTAGGAGTCTATTCGGGAAATAAGGAAAGACCAACATTTAAAATTATGACATTAGAAGTTTCCCTACTCCCTAGATAACGCGTGCAATCCATTGGCAAAATGATCATGAACACTCACAATCCCAGTATGATGTTCCAGTTAGTATGGTTTATCTGACTTTTAGGGACTGATCATTTGAAATGATAGTGTAAACAAATATTCAGCACCTGTTTTTTTCATAAATACTACAATATGACAAACAAGACTTGCTGTTTTGAACAAAAGAACTTGTCAGCCTTGAAAAATACATTTTGTTTAGTTTTTAGTTTTTTTTAGTTTCTGTTAAGCAAAAATACATTTAGTCTCAAAGTTTTTATAATTAAAAATGCTACACAGGTACACAGCCCCTAACCTTCTATTTTTGTGGTAGCATTTTTAGCATATTTTACATTGTTTTCCCTCTAATCATGAAAACAATATCATACTCACGAACAAAAATACAAACAAGCATATTATTCCGGTAAAATATCATAAAATAATAATGTTTTCTTTGTATAATGGCTAATTCCTAATTAGGTTGGGGCCGTCCCCTAACTACAGGATAAGCATTCATATACATGTATGTAAAATACCCCGTCCAAGGCCGACATGTTTAACACTACGGTATTAATAAACGAATTACGAAGCAAATATACCTGAAGACCCCTATTCACCAAATGGACGTCAAGCTAGGTGATTTCTAAGCATGAGCAAGGTCTATTTTAAGTTAGACAGGTCCGGTCTTGAATACAGACAGTAAACAATGAAATTGAACAGTTACTGTTTAACCTATTTCAACATGGTTTGTTTTCAGCGTTGGCATAACAAAACATAAGAATTTATAACCTACAATAACGTTACAAAAATCGCATCGCTTTGTAAATATAGTTTGCAACATTACGTAATGAATGTAACGGTAGAATTTTCTGAAATCATTATTTCTTCGCCGATTTCGTTCAAATTTGAAACGCATGTTAATCATAACATTTAAAAGCAATGTATGACTGCAAAGTTCTACATTTATATTTTAGTTTTAAATTATTGTCCAAACAGTGATTCGAACCCGTGTGGTTTGCAATATAAGACATTGAACAAGCTCTTCCTACGCATGCTCGACTAGTATCGACTGGTAATTATAAATATGAAGATATAATGATCGTTTCGTTCATGACGTTGCCATGGTGATTACAAATATGTCTTTCTGTGTTGTGCTTGGCCTTGTAAATCCCATTACCACGGCCCCGGGAATGATCAATACTGGGTATTCCTTTGCACTAGCGTTCTATGTTTACATTGGTTCTTGCCCAGTCCATTTAAAAGTGAATGTTGTCTCTGAACTATTTCCTTTAATGTAAGGTCAGGGGGAACAACTGAACTACCATTACTTAGATATATCCTAGGAACATAAATGTTGTTATTCTATGTACTATGATCAAAATCAATAGTATTGTGTGATCGATTTTATGATTAATGAAAGTCTGTTCTTTGTATGGCGGAATCTTTAAAAGAATCAATAATAGTATGTATTACAGTGATAGCAAAAGAATAGTATACATTTCAGGTTTTAAGGTTCATGTATATATTTGTACAGTTACCTGAATACTGATGAAGACACTGAGCAATAATTAGTATTCCCTTCTGTTGCAGTGTTTAAATTGCTCAACAATAATGTTACCGACAAAAACAATTCTATAATCATAAGATATCTCGGGGCGGTAGGGTAGCGTAGTGGTTAAAGCGTTCACTCGTCACACCGAAGACCCGGGTTCGATTTCCCACATGGACACAATGTGAAGCCCATTTCTGGTGTCCCCACCGTGATATTGCTAGAATATTGCTAAAAGCGGCGTAAAACTAAACTCACTCACTCATAAGAAATCTCTACTTAAACCAGAGTCCATTGTTTGATTCCGATAAAACATGACTCCATAAATATGTGTGTTAACAAATCTTTTGGTCTCTTAACTACTTGATACCTATAAACAGTCAGAACTGGTTGTGTGATGACAGAACAGGTTGATTGACATTTGTTTTTATTAGTTTTACTGTAAACATTCTTTATGTAAGTCATAAACATTTTCACATTTGCAACGCCCTGAACCGACACAAACTGAAAAGTGTTTTTTTATAAGTTTGTTGCCCAATTACTGCCCAATTCCATGCCCGGATCCAATCAGATATATTCCTCCTTCTGGACACTCAGGATGTGCCTTTCAAATGTTTAGTAGTATATAATAGTAGGCAACAATGGAGTGGTCAAACTGCATGATTTCGCTGGAAAGAAGATACCGACCAGTCCTTTCATTCTTCTCACAACATGGCAATAAAATATCTTTCTTGTAAAATTTCAAATAGGAACCACTTGAAAATTTACTACATATTTCAAGCACAAAATCGTAACTTAGAATCAAGTCTGTAACAGATAATATTACCCGAAAAACGAACATTTACACTCCCAAAAACAAAGGTAATCGTTGCCTTCTAAACCTAAGATTTAATGGGCAAGTGTTTAATATTTTCTTGATTATGTTTACGATATATATTATGTATTACTATAGCTATAAAATATGTTGCTACGGAACAACTTAAGTAAAGAACTACGTTTATCATAGTCATTCGTTAGGATATTTAAACTATGCTAAACAATAAAAATAAACCATATGTAGTACATTAGCATACATTTATCAACGCCAGGAAGTTATTGATACATGAAAAAATTACTTAAGATAGATATAATATGTATGATCAGAGGAACGATGCTTTTCTCAATTCAAACTTTATGGTTTCACAGTTTCAGCGATGGTATTTGAAAACCGCCACGCTTTGTTAAAGATTGAATATTCAAATATTTATTAAAGTGCATTCCCTAAACAAGGGACGGAACTAGCGTTCATTGTGATCTGTGACCCGTAATCTGTAGCTTAAAGTATGAACCACAATGGATTTGAACTGCTTTTAACAGGCGCACAGTCAACTTACCCTCTGAAAACTATTTGTTCCTCACTATTTTATAATTATTAGATTATTATTAGATGCTTATGATATACTCGGAACAATCACATTTTGATATTTATAATCAGTAGATTATTATTAGATGCTTATGATATACTCGGAACAATCACTATTTGATATTTATAATTATTAGATTATTATTAGATGCTTATGATATACTCGGAACAATCATATTTTGATATTTATAATTATTAGATTATTATTAGATGCTTATGATATACTCGGAACAATCACATATTGATATTTATAATTATTAGATTATTATTAGCTGCTGATGATATACTCGGAACAATCACTATTTGATATTTATAATTATTAGATTATTATATGATGCTTATGATATACTCGGAACAATCACTATTTGATATTTATAATTATTAGATTATTATTAGTGCTTATGATATACTCGGAACAATCACTATTTGATATTTATAATTATTAGATTATTATTAGATGCTTATGATATACTCGGAACAATCACTATTTGGTATTTATAATTATTAGATTATTATTAGATGCTTATGATATACTCGGAACAATCACTATTTGATATTTATAATTATTAAATTATTATTAGATGCTTATGATATACTCGGAACAATCACTATTTGATATTTATAATTATTAGATTATTATTAGATGCTTATGATATACTCGGAACAATCACTATTTGATATTTATAATTATTAGATTATTATTAGATGCTTATGATATACTCGGAACAATCACATTTGATATTTATAATGATATTTATTAGATGCTTATGATACAATCACTATTTGATATTTATAATTATTAGATTATTATTAGATGCTTATGATATACTCGGAACAATCACTATTTGATATTTATAATTATTAGATTATTATTAGATGCTTATGATATACTCGGAACAATCACTATTTGATATTTATAATTATTAGATTATTATTATATGCTTATGATATACTCGGAACAATCATATTTTGATATTTATAATTATTAGATTATTATTAGATGCTTATGATATACTCGGAACAATCACATATTGATATTTATAATTATTAGATTATTATTAGATGCTTATGATATACTCGGAACAATCACTATTTGATATTTATAATTATTAGATTATTATATGATGCTTATGATATACTCGGAACAATCACTATTTGATATTTATAATTATTAGATTATTATTAGGTGCTTATGATATACTCGGAACAATCACTATTTGATATTTATAATTATTAGATTATTATTAGATGCTTATGATATACTTATGGAACAATCACTATTTGGTATTTATAATTATTAGATTATTATTAGATGCTTATGATATACTCGGAACAATCACTATTTGATATTTATAATTATTAAATTATTATTAGATGCTTATGATATACTCGGAACAATCACTATTTGATATATTTATAATTATTAGATTATTATTAGATGCTTATGATATAC